ATCAGGTGCATCTGTCCCCATTCGACTTGGGACTGGTTGGATATCGGGTCGCAAGCACTCCTTACAAAGCACCTGGCTGGGAACTGCCAGCATGGAGAAGATGGAGAAGCTCCCATGCACATGCACAACTCCCGCATTGGATCTATACTCTCCAGCTTCCACCGTTTCTCCCAGCAAAATATTAGTCCCGGTGCTCCATACGGTACGGCCAATGTCCCTTCTTATTCGAAAGGTGAGGTGGTTGCCACAGTGCGAGCTGAGTTGGAGAGATTGCTGCCCTTTCCAGACGCATCGTCTGCCACAATTGGCAATAGCGCACACCATTCATTGATATTTCTGGGAGCATTCCCAGCATCACTTTTGTCCCGCGTCGCCGGATTGTTGGATCCCATACCGAGTACAGAGCACACACTTCAATCGACACATAGCGGGAGACGATAGACGCAGACCGACTGTGGAATGCCTAGGCCGAGACTTTCTTCTGGACGGAACAGGGTAATTATTGCATCTGCCTGCAGGAACAACGCCGTATCGTCACGTCTTTTCAATTTATTTCCGAAGCGATTATATGCAAGAAGACATTGCCTTTGCCTTGATCTCACCGAGGGTGGGACGCCGAGTATTGAGATGGTAGTCTTTGGGCGTTTGCCACAAGTGCAAGTGGCAAAGCGAGATTCACAATAGTCATGGCTTAGCCACTTGACCAAGGGAGTGCCGTTGTAGAGCCTAATTTACAGACACGGAGCATCGGCCTTCCCATTGGCTCGGGCCCTCTTGCAACTCGCAAAGGACGGAGTTACTACTACTCTTGGACTTGCAAAGCTTGGGGAGCCAACTACCAAGGTAGCGGTGCGCACCCCAGCTCTTGGGTGGCATGGGCGCCACCGCCTCGCCCAGCCCGTCCGCCAGATGTCAGACTCACGATCTCTAATGTCAAGGTTCTTGGATTCAGGTTCCTTGGATCCCATCTTCTCTCGGCATAGACCGGCATGCTAGCTTATCATAATGGCCCAAGTAGGCTTGGGTTCGGGAACGGTTCCCCATTCTAAACCATGGAGGTGAGGGACGGCGCGCATTCGGCTCTACTGCTTCCAGACACCTCCATTGCAATTGCAGTATATTGGTATTCTTCTGGACACTTGCACTGTTTTGCGGTGCCCCATGTTTACTGTACCAATCCGCTCTTGTCGGAGGTCGTCGCCTTTGTCAGGCCGACATGCATTTTTTTTTTTTCTTGCCATGGTCGAATGCGACTACCATAACACAGGTAATGCGCCCACGTCATGCCAGAGCCTCAGGGTTCAAGGAAGACTCCTATCGTTCATGGTCGTGCCGGAAATAGCAAAAACAAGATAAAGGTCGACTTTTGCGCTCGCCACGTCATCTCCATGGCCGTTCTGCCGACAATCAGTGGCTCAACAACTGCTTGCTGCATGTGATACAATATCAAACGTGCAGCAGTCAAAATGATGCATCAGAAGCGGTTTCCAATGCTTGCCTGTACCATTGCAGATAAATGAACCGTCAATTCCCAGGGCCCCCGCGATCCGAGACAATTTACCGAGTAGATCGGCTTTCGTGGTAGTAATATTACTGGCCCGGCAGCGGGTCTCCCGCTTTTATTGCTGCGCCGGACGTTGCATTAAACTACGGAGTACAATACAGACCAACATGCTACGACACAGCAATAAGGTTGTTCGGGCGACTGCCTTAGTTTCTACTGTCGATTGATGAGCCACTACACCATGCCTGCTCGGTGCGCCTGGCTTGGGTCGGGAAATATTTCATTCAAGTAAGTTCTGCGCTGGCCTGCATAATGAATTGGTTGGCATGTGCGCCGTGTTGGATGCTCCAACGCCGGCATGTACTCGGTATGAGATGGATGGTTTTTAAATGCCTCGTAGCACCTTGGCCACTCCGTCATTGTCCACGTACAAGAAGCCTTGGTGCTGCTGGAGGACGGATGGAGGAGGCGTTTTCAGGTGTAGTGTACAGAAGAGGTGGTCAGCCCAGATGCGAGTGGAACAGTCTGTCAGGGTTGCGTTTTTGAGCATTTCGAAGCATCCATGAAGAGCCGACGTCTGGTCTAGCCTCCAACTCCCCCACGCAGGTCCACGATGGGCGTGTTACAGGTTGTCCCCTCGAGCATCGTGACGGCTGGCGCGCTTGTGGGTAATGGATGAATGCGGAGGAGGAGTCTGAAGTTGCTCCTGGCTCCATTCATAAACTCATCATTCATGCGTGGTTGACTAACGACGGGAAGAAGGAACCAAGGCTTGAGCCGCTCGTCCCGCTCCGCCCAGGGCCACAGGGTCTCAGACCCAGGGCCTTTCTCTGGCGGTACGTAGCCACTATGGTCCGCACGAACGGTTTGCGGCTTTGCCATTGCCCTTGGATATGTTGAGTGGGCGTCACATCGTGCGTTTTACAAAGACGTCGATGTGTTGTAATGGTCACCGTCTTCCCTTGCTATTTTCCCCCCGGCGCGAACAACCTTTGGATGGTGCGGCTCATTTCCTCTATTGTAGGTGGACAAAAAAAATTTCAAAGTTTCAAGAATGGAGGGATGTTGACAATTTCAGATTATCATTAGGTTTTGGTCTATCAACGACGGGTCGGTTAGGCCAAGGAGCAGCCTCACATGTTTTTACAAGGTTTAGGAAAGAAGCTCATATGGCAAGAATCCTGCACAGACACGGTGAGGCGCAGTGTCCTGTGTTTCGTCTGTGGATTCATGTTGGTTCTCCGTTTTGGAGGAGGGACTGAAGAAACGGAATGTATCTGACGCACTGTGCCTGTATCGTCTTCCCAGGTACGTCCTTGGTACGTTTCCCGATATTTCTGCTTGTGCCGTTTGAAGACGCTGCATTGTATGTATGTACGACGTGTCGTGGCAGCAAGTGCAAACAACTCTGGTGCCCAGTCCCCTTGCTCACCTTGGTCTGCTTGCCCTTGGCTCTGCCAGCCTTGGTATTAGTGCGGCATGTTAGGCAACTGGAAGTGGTGCATTTGTGATTCGTCACATTCGCACACCTTGAAGGATCCCGGTCGAACTGTCCGGGGTGGCCCGCAGTCACAAGCCAGTGCAAACCAATGCATCTTTCAGACTTGGAGCGCGGCATGGGTTTGAACCATGTGCCCGCCTAGTGTAAACCATCCGACTTTACGACTTTACGGAGACGAATGTATCTTGGGTGCGTACGGAATACGCCAGTCAGTATCAGCTTATGTACATTACAGAATGAGATGGCGATGGGCGATGGCGTCTTTTAAAGCTGACTGCATGACAGGAAAGCGCCTGCCGCGGCTTGATTGACCAGGATAAATGAAAAAAAAAAAAACGACCTGTCTTTGCCGTCAACACGCCGTCCTTCAACCGCCTTTATTTGAAATTATTTATCATCTGTGCCACCTTTCCCGCACAGACGAGTTGTCAATAATCAATCTTTGGCTCCACTGCCACGCGGGACTGCTGCCCGGCAAAAGCAGGCCCAGACTCGGCTTAGACGAATTTTTCCATGACAACCACACAGCAGGCTACGTCTGCTTCAACTGCCCTATCTTCCATTCCTGGATTCATCTGGCTGGCGTCGTGCGCACAAGCTCCCTTCCAGGTAAACGGAGGAGATGCTCCAGCGGTTGGTTCGGTGCAGCCGAGGCGGTCCTCGCCCGTCACTGGCGCAACGGCCGAGTATAATACTCCAGCCACGCTTCAGCACCGCCGGTGACTGGATGCCGCATTCCAACATGTCGGTTGAACACCCAGGCATCAACGGAGCAGTTCGTAGCGGCCTGTTTCATTTGTGGAGAAAGCGCTGCGGATCGACGCGTGCGCTCGGCAATCGGGATGTAGCGTCACGCACTGCGTCACTTGCGGGCGAATGTTTGGAAATGGCTATTCCTTCAAAGGCGAAACACGGTGCTCGCTCGCTCACGGAGAAGCACTGCCTTGTGACGCTGTGACTGGCGTTGGCTTTGAATACACGCCATGTCCGCATCCAAACTTGCAGAATTGAAGGCGGGCGACCGGGTAGCCAAGTCACAAGCACCAGTATTCTATTTCAAATCACCCACGCCGCCGACCAAGGCCGTGCTATCCGCCCTGGGAACATGGTGAAAATGGTCAACTGGTAGTAGTACAGACGGCTACTGGGCCAAACCGAGCCTCCTCAACCTCGCTGCGTCGTACCGAGTAGCGCAATGCACATGTTTTGCCACCAAGGAAAATCACCCGACACCTATATCACAAATCTCCTATACATGGCCAGTCGGCAGTCGTCGTGGCAAGCAAATTACCCCAGCATCCAGGTTTTCCCCCATCCCACACATGCCAGGCCCGGCGCCTGCCCGGGCACCACGACGCGTCCCGTGGTGGATGGTCGGGTTCTGGCGAGCGTCGCAGCGGGATCCACCGCCGTGTGGTCTGCTGATCGTCTAGTGTGTGTGGGTGAAGCTGGAAGCCTTCATGTCTTGACTCTTGTTTCTGCTCTTCTTCTCGGCCAGATGGTGCGAGGGACATGGGCCAATGGGGGATTTTAGAACCGCCGCCAATCAGGGGCGGTCGAACCGGTGAATCGGGCTGTTTTTGTTTGGGGAGATGCTGTTGGTGAGTTGGGGGTTTGTTGGACAAACTTCCCCGGCTCGTGTTGTCCTGTGCCGAAAAATCTGTGCCCTGGACTTGGTTGTCGTCTTCCCGCCAATATGTCCAGGCTCTCCATAGGTTTTAGGGAGACGACGGTGTTATAGCCGAGTCCAGGGCACATTATGGAAACAGATAATGGCGGTGGGGAGGTGAAGGTTTGTCCGTGGCTTCCGTTATTGAACTGTGATTGTCTTGTCGAGGTGGACATGTGAGGAGGCCGCGGATATCGACGTACATTGAAATGGCGATATGCGCCGTGAGATGGGGCAGCGGTTTATGATTGGTGCTTGACGGGGGTTTTCTGGCGTCTACGCGTCGATCGCGCCGTGTAGTGGAATACTTGGTTCCTGGCCATGCGCTATTCTACCTTGTTGAGGAGGACCTTGACCTCGCGCAGACCCGGCTTGGCCTGGTCCCAGATGATCTTGAGGGCAGAGGCGTTTGCGTCGCTGCCAAACTTGAGCTCGGCGGCGAGGGCGGCGCCCATTTCCAGAGGCACCTCTACGGAGCTGAGATAGAGGACCCAGTAGCCTCCCGAGACGTGCCGCAGGAGCACGTCGGAGTCGATGATGATGCCGCTGCGGTTGCTGCCGACGAGGACCGTGGACGCCGCGTCCTCAGGGTCTGTTGTCTCCTTGAGCTGTGTGGTTCCGTAGCCCGGGTCCAAGTTTGCGCCGGCGAGATGGGTGGTGTTTTGGGTTGGCGGGATTCTGGGCGACCGTCTCTCGGTGTATAGCACGTCGAAAGCGTTGACGATTTTGTCCCGGAGGTTCTGGCGCTCCTTTTTTAGTCTGGTGGCTCGGTAAGTTAGCAGGCCATTTGCAATACATCATGACTTACTGGCCTGATACGCCGATGCGGCGGTCCTTGGGAACCTCGAGTCTGTCTTCGATCACCCCCCGCGAGAGGAGCGTCTCGACCGAGTTCAAAGCGCCGGCGGTATTTCCAAATATGGCAATGCCATACCGGAGATCTCGGAACCAAAAGACGAATGTGCCAAAGGCGCCTGTCGCTCCGATGTGCGAACACACGACATGCGATAGCGTGATATATATGAGATTACAGTACTACTGGAAACTGACCCGCGGGGAGCCGTCAAGGGCAGATTGCAAAGGTTTCGAACAAGGTCCCTATTCGGCACTCATTTCATCCCTGTGACGAGCCTACGCCATGTCGTGGCGAGGCATACTCGTGCGATGACTTGCGGCGTCTTCCAGCGTGAAGTGGTTGGTCGCCTACTCGTCCTGTAGGACGAAGTCGTCGCGGACAATGGAGGCGATGGGCGTGCTCCAGCCGCCGTTGGGGACAGAATGTGACCCGTTCAGAATCCGCTGAGCCAGAGCCGCGTCGACAAAGGCCTTGGTGTCGAGCCTCCGTGCTATAATGTCTCCGGAGTTGCTGGGGTATCTGGGAGGACGGCAAATCCAGAACCCTGGCGTCATGTAAGCGTGAACCGGTCATTGTGAATGTTGTTGCCATGGCATTTCATCGTCACTCGCCTAGGCGTACTCCTCGCCGCCGTCGACGGCTGCACCCGACAGCCCCGGCACCCTCTACTCCTCTAGCATGTTGTTGACGTGTATACCAAGTTCACTTGTGAATAGATTGATTCCCTGAGCCCGCGGTATCGTCCGGGTGGCCTCCCATCAGGTACTGGGGTAGAATCAGTAGTCTGACTGTCATGTCCAACGGCCTCAAAGCCGCCATGTTGTCGGATAAGTCGGAGTGTAGTAGGCGAAGCAGAAAACTGAGAAGGAAACGGCGAGAAATGAGGTGGTTTGTCGTTGATCCGGCAATTCCCAATGCCGGCCAAGTGTGTGACTCGTGCGACGTCCGTAAGTTATAATCTCCCTACCCTGTTGGGACTGGTAATCGACTCATCGACTCATCGACGTCGCCATGCGCTCGCTGCAACGCTGAAAGGAATGTACGCATGTCCATGATCCGAGACTCAACTTGATGAAATTTAAGTTTGGTCATCCTACGTTGCTCCCATCTACCCCGCATGCCTGGATTCTTGAAGGTGCGCTGAGCGGCCATCGCTCTTTTATATCCGCCAAGTGACACTGGTGTCCAACGTGGCATCTAGACTTGCGGACGGGCCCGGGCCGTGCGCCCAAGACGTCTTTCCCAAGGGGAGGAAAGAGAATTTGATCAATTTGCAACGGTACACGGGCGCTGAAGTTTTTTATCTTGTCTACTGCTCTATTCGTGACATCTACCTAGATCGTATTCCAACATGTACCGTGGCCAGTTAGTTGCGATACTTGATATAAAACGACTGCGTCCTGGCCACATCCCAGTCCTGCGTCTTGCTCTCGTCGCCGTAGATCCTCAGCGCCCTGGTTACAAACTGATACTTCCCTGCAGGCGCGTACCTGCCCGAGTCGAGCTTGCCGTCCCAGGACCACCAGCTGACTCCCCTCGGGTTCCAAAAGCTAGGGAACCCGGAGGGCTGGCCGATGGTCTTGATGCCCATGGCCTCAGTGGTGAGGTTCTTGGGCGGACACGTGGTCATGGGCACCACGTCGATTTTCACCTGGGACGACCCGAGCGCGAGGCCGACGTAGACTGCTGGAAGGACGTCGTCTGCGCCGGCACTCCCCGCGGCGGGAAGCAGGAACGTGGTGTTGTCGGGCGCCTTGACGTACTTCTTGGAGTCGCTGGAGCGGAAGATCCAGGACTGGTCCGAGGCAAGCACTGTCGAGTTGCGCAGGGAGCCGGTGAGGCCCTGGTACGGCATCGACAGGGACGAGCCGTCGGTCCCGTTGACCGTGATGTAGCCGGACCAGAGGGCGAGACGGGCGCCGTCAAGGCCGCCGGGTGGTGTGGCCACGACGTCCACTACTGCTTGCTCGCCGGGGGCGACGGTCACGCTGTCCTGCGAGAATGCAAGACTGGCGTAGGAGCCCGCTGCCTCGTTTGGGAAGGCCATTGGGTATACTGAGCCTTTTTGTAGAGTGTACATGGTCAGGGATGAGACTTGGCCGAGTCGATAGGTTGCCGGGTTCGTGCCGGTATTGGTGATGGTGAGGTTAAGCTCGCGAACCCGATGGTCCGTGTCATTGAAAGAAAGGCTAGAGGGCGACAGGAGGGATGTCGTGTACGCGGCGTCGTAGGCTTGGACCATGCCGCCGCCTTGTTGGGCAGCCGGGGCAAGTCTGCTGTAGAACTGCTTGCCGTCATTGAATAGCTGAGGATTGGCGGTAGCAGAGAGAAGGTTGTTTATGAGCCGAGGATCGCGCGTGCCTCTGACTTCTGAAACTAGGGTAATAATGGCAGCCGTGATAGGGCAGGACATGGAGGTACCAGACATGACGGCATAGCTGCCCTTGGCAACAGGGTATGTCGACAGGATGTTGCCCCCAGGGGCGCCGATTTGCGGTTTAAAGTCCATTTCCCAAGTCGGACCCCAGGAGGAAAAGAGGCTGATTGCGCCGCCGGTGACATTGTTGCCAACCTCGCTTGTAACAGACTGGGACTTGGAAAAGCTGACAAAGTCGACATTGACGTTGGACCCGGCCTTGAGGCTATTCACCCACGAAGCACCAATTTCAGGGGTGACCATGCCAGAGCCGTTCATGAGAGACGCAGGATCATCAAGCGTGGGGGCAAAGTCGCCGGCGACGTTGTTATAAACAATCATGTACTTGGCTCCTTTGGCGGCTAGGTTGACAGCCTTGTCTGCAAAGAGACAGGTGCCACGACGGACAAGAACGATGTACTTGCTCAGATCAGGCGTGTTATCCGGCAGAGCAGTGCAAGCGTCATTGGCAATAGTGGTATCGAGACTTGTGGCATAGAGCGGCATGGAAACACCTTGGAGGGCCGGCGTTCCGGGAACATAGAGGAAGTCTGTTGCTCTGCCGCCATCGACGCTGTAGCCGGCATGGAAGTGCACAGAGGGCGTGAGAATGTTGTCGTACGACGCGACGGCGGTAACTCCCTTGCCGTTGGCAGCAGTACTAATGTAAAAAAGTCCATGATCGCCATCGTTGCCGGCCGAGATGGCGCAGGGGACGCCTTGTTCAACAATCCGAGAAACGGCGACGGCCCAGGGCTCTTCAGTCCAGCCGAGGGCCCCGACGATAGATGCGCTAATAATCTGAGCGCCATCTTCAAAAGCTTTATTAAAGGCGGAAATAAGAATGTCATTGCCAGCCAGGCCGTCACATCCAAATACGCGGTAGGCGCCAAGGGTGACATTAGGCGCCGCGCCAGTAAACCCATGGGGATTTGGCTGAGCAGCGACAATACCGGCAACGTGTGATCCGTGTCCGTTGCAGTCCATGGGGTCGTTGTCCGGCACCGGGGTGTTGTATCCAGTGTAGGCGTCGCCAACAAGATCGGTGCCAAATGACACGAGACAGCCCTTGCCAAAGCAATTGTTGCCCAGGGCAGGATGCGTGTAGTCGATGCCAGTATCAATAATGGCTACTTTTATGCCCTTTCCCGTGACTCCCCTGGCTCTAAGTTTGTCCACCTGAGTCATGACGTGAGGCGAGAAGGTGTCGGCCCTTATACCATCTCGGCTGGAGATCTTGCCGGCTTCTGGTATTCCGACCACGCGAACATTGGACTCGGGCACGCCAAAGAGGTCAATTGGCCAGACGTTCTTGACCGCTGGCATTTGAGCAATCTTTTCTGCCTTTTTCTCGGCATTTTGAATATCGTGCAGCTGGATAGATACACCCTTGAAAAGCTTGTAGTCAAGCTTCATGCGAGTGGTGGCTTCGTCGTTCAGAGCTCCGAGCACAGATGAGGCGTCCTGAGCCTAGGTCAGACCACAATATCTTTTTTCTGCAATAAATAAAGAACATGGTAGGAGAGCTACTTACATGGCCGTCTTGAAGTTCCACGATATATCCTCCAGGGACTCGAGCTGATGCGGCCAGAGCTGTCGCAGCGGCCGCAAGAAGCGACGTGAAGATTTCGAGCTTCACCATTACAACCTGGGTTGAAGCGGATCACGGCAGTTGCGACAAAGACTGAATAAAACAACAATACGAAAAGGTTGAAATAGCACTTCCCCTTCCACGGCAGCGTCGGCGAGAGCAGATATATACATTGCAGCCAAGGACGGCAGGGAAGCCGCATACAGGCGACGTCGCGTACAGCCGAATGCTCAGACCATTGTTATCTTAGCAATACCGCGAGCGACAAAGCTGACAAAGAGGATAGTTCAGACCCCGGCCAGTTACCTAACCGTGTCTACATATTTAGTCCGATTTGTGCTGCAGCAATGGTCTCCGATACCACCGCCATGGGCTGCTCGATGCGGAAGGTGAGCAAATACCCTGGCGATAATAGATTGTAGATTGAGTGGGGTGTTGTCCAAATTCCCCATCATCAACTACTATGTACATACTACATAGTCCGATGAAAACGCATGCAACTAACCATCTTGGGCCCTAAATGTCCATGCGGGGAACGCATGTACTCGACACAGATATCCTTTTATTTTCATTACCCAATTTGTGTCCGAGGCCGGCAGCAAGGAAACGGAATTGTAAATGAGATGGATCCTTGCCTTGCGGTGACGTCCCAGGACCAGCACACAAGGTCCAAGGTTCTCGTTCTTCCGGTGGCTTCTTCCATGGTTCGGGCTTAGACATGCCGAGATGCTGATTTGCTGTTGTATCATTGAGTCTGCCACCTTCTGTATCGGCAGCGGAGAGAGATGATACCTTCGCACCTCTTCATGGACAATGCAAACAGTGTTTGATACCGGAGCCGTATTCTAGAACTTGCAATTAGGTTGGCTCTGCACGAGGAATTCGCGGCACGACTGGGCTTTCAACGTACTTGACGGTGATGACTGCCCCTGACCATTTTGGGCCTTTCTTCATCTCCTACTCTATTCGGAATGGTACGTCGTATAGGCAGATCAGACTGTCCAGGCACCTTTGATTGACGCAGATAGCTTCCATGATAATTACGTTGAACAATTCACGCTGAGAATAATTGGGGACGCGTATATGTGAGCTTTGCCGATATGCGGGAGTTTTAAAGACGTATGACTGCTGCGTTGGTATTTCCCGACTGCGTAGTTGATGTGGCTGCATTGGTATCACCGCACCCATACTAAGGTAATTGCGGCTGGTTGCCAAAGGCAAATTGTTACGTCCCAAAAGGCTTTGGTCGTTCATAACCAGCGAATAAAGGGGACTACCCGATCGACTGTCGCAGTTAAATGCCACGCAGTATTTCGCACCTGTTCATGCGCTGCGTAGCCAGGGAAGACCATATTCCAAGGCCATTTACGAGGATGGCTGACCGTATGTTGTGCGCGGTGCTATGTTGCAAAGAAAATGATGTACCTATCCTACACGCTCTATGATTCAAGGACTCTATTGAATATCCGGCATGACAGCAACGGCTGCTGATTGTATTAGATGGCAGCAGGCGACGAGATTTGTGTAAATTCGGTGCCAAGAATTCGGTTCATCCAGCTTCCAACGTCGTAAGCATCTTTCCTTCCCAGGCCAGCCTGAAAAAGCTGCGTGTCCCAGTTGGAGATGTCATGGAGAGAACTGTTGATAAGCTGCCGCTCGTCAAAGTTTTGCTGCCCGGCAATGCTAAATCGTTCAATGATGCCATGTCTTGCTTCAAAGTGAATTTTATGCTACCCCGGTGTCAGCTGGAGAAGTTGCTTTGATATGTGTCTGCCCTGCTTACATCAAATGATAGTTCAGGCCGATGGCGAGGATCCTCCTCAAACGGATGAGTGCAAAATGTGAACCGCGGGGTTTGTCCATATATCCAATCCTTGGATCGCAGTTCTTCGTACCCACTGGCTATCCTTTGATCCTGAGATGCGCGACTGTCGAATTCTGTCTGCACGTCAAAGTCACCATACATTTTGGCAAACTCTCCGACAACCGCGTCCTTGAACACCTCGACATCCAAGTCCACATTCCTCACCGGACTCCGCACACTATCAACGCCCCTGGCTTTCACAAAGGGCTCTGCCGGCGACCGAAGCATCCCCGAGATATTTGACAGATTGGGACTGCGAAGAAGACATGTACCGTGGTGCAAGGATCGCAAACGCGTCAGCTTGTACGCAGAGCCGGAGATTTTGAATGTGCTGTGAGCTGGCTTGCCATCTACTTGTACGTCCATGACGATGTCGTGCCGTTTGTTAACGCTCGTAGTTGGTCGTCCCAGTGACTTAAGCGCCCGAACTATCATTTCCGCATGTTTATCCCGATCAAACGCCTGCGGAGGGCAAATGACGCTGAAATTGACATTGCCAAGGTCGTGAAACACTGTTCCACCACCAGAGCGCCTTCTGACAAGCTTAACTGCAGAGTCTCTCCATCCGATTTCGTCTGGGCGGTTCACAATTTGCGCAAGTCGCGATAGATTGACCTCCAGCCACGGATTCTGGTTCCGGCCAAAGACGACGCATGGCGAGTTAACGTAGAGAAATAAAATAGTCGACTCTGGCGGAGTGGTTTGCAGCAGTCTATGCTCGACGGAGAGGTTCAAGAGAGGATCATTGGACCTAGATATGTAGACTTGTGTCTTGTTGGCGTGGTGAGCGGCAGCCTCGACAGAGAAGAGGCGTGTCTGATGACATGTTGTCTTGAGGGCCGAGGTGAACCGCCTCATCGAAGGGCCCCAGCGAGCCATGCCACCAATGATGTTGCGAGGACGAAGTGCTCAGCGAAGAAGCGCATTGAGGCGATGAGCTGTTGTTCCACGTCAAGGAGATATTACGAGACTTGAGCTACCAACCACAAGCTGTTCACCAGACAGGATATGCCTGCCTGGAAAGGGGATCAGGGCAGTTTACCCGCGTATCGTCCCGGACCAGACTGAATTGAGGTCTGCAGGCTGACTTGTTTTACAAAGAGCGTGAGGGATCAGATCGACAATTTGGAGCTCGGTGAAGGGAGTCCACACGAGCTTTTTTGGCTCTCGCCTGCATTGGGTGTACATACGTACCTCCTGGACCCACATTTAATGGATAAATCTTTACCCTGACATGAGGATGCTGTGTCATGTACGTGGGGATTTCGTCGTGAAATTCAATTTACGAGGCCTCTGGTATGCCGCGAAACTTTTTTTTTTCTTGATGTTGTTTAATTATCACATTACTTACAAGCGTGAAAGTCAATTGCAGATGCCTTGCTAGGTCTATTATCCGTTCCAACAGCACGGCACCAGTCCCATTGACCATGCGCTCATCGTCCTGCCCCTCCCCCGCCAAACCCAGAATTTCGCCAGTAGTCACCACCGAAATCGGCTCATATCAGTCAAAAAACATCCGCTTTTCCCTCCCTCAATTCTCCTCACCATCCCACGAGACAAACCTCAACAGCATCAATCGCCCAGCATGTCCACCTTCGGACACTACTTCCGGGTTACTACGTAAGCATCGCATCCGCCCCTTCTCCTCCCCTCGTCCCGCCAATCCACCACATCTGACACCGACATCTCCAGCGCTGGCGAGTCCCACGGCAAATCCGTCTCTTGCATCGTCGACAACTGCCCACCGGGCCTTGAACTCGTCAGACGACATCCAGCCTCAGCTAAACCGCCGGTGACCAGGCCAACAGGCCATCGCCACGCCGCGCAATGAAAAGGACAGAGCCATCATCCACTCCAGCACAGAATTTGGCCGCTCGGCACCCCGATCCTTCTGACGGTCCCCAACGAAGACCAGCGACCCAAGGACTATGGAAACAAGACCATCGACCTCTACCCGCGCCCCAGCCACGCCGACTGGACCTACCTGGAGAAGTACGGCGTTAGGGCCAGTTCCGGCGGCGGCTAAAGCAGTGCGCGCGAGACCATCTGCCGCGTGGCCGCCGGCGCCGCAGCACAGAAGTTGCTGAGGGACATGTACGGCGTGGAAACTGTCGCCTTTGTCACGTCGGTTGGCAATATCAAGCTCTTCGGCGATACGGACGCCATGAGCGCCGACCCCACGTTCCCCAGCTTAGCCAACACAATCACCCGCGACAAGGTCGACGAGTTCCTGCCGGTGCGGTGCCCGGACGCCGAAGCCTTAAAGCGCATGGAGGCCCGCGTCGCCGAGCTGCGCGACCAAAACGACAGCACCGGCGGCACGGTAACGTACACCCCCTCCGGCCTCGGCGAGCCGGCCTTTAACAAGCTCGAGGCCCTCATCGGCCACGCTATGCTCTCTATCCCCGCTGTCAAGGGCTTCGAGATCGGCTCCGGCTTCCTCGGCGCCGAAATAAACAGTAGCAGGCACAACGACCCCTTCATCCCCGCGCCCGCCCTTGACGCCGCCGCCCACAAGACGGGCATCCCCAGGTCTCGCCTGCACACAAAGACCAACAACTCAGGCGGCATCTAGGGCGGCATCTTTAACGGCATGCCCATCTTCCCGCGTTGCCTGTACCCCCCCCGAGGACCATCAGCCAAGACTAAACCACGGCCTTATACGACGCCCCGGGCGAGGGGGTCTTGTCGGTAAAGGGCCGCCACGACCCCTACGTGGTGCCCCGTGCGGTGCCTATTATAGAGGGCATGGCGGCGTTGGCTATTGCTGACGCTGTCATGGCTCAGCACGCGAGGCAGATGGGCATCCGGATGGCCAAGCACAAGTAACGCCCGTGACGACTGGATACAAACATATACATGTGGGAAAAAACTATACGAGACGCAATCGAAACAAAGTTTAGGAGTTTACGGACGCATATGTGACTTGGTTTAGTGGAGTTAGATATCTGCAAAACAAGATTCGGCGCTGAGCCAGAAAATGGCTCCAAATATATTTTATTCTAGACAGCCGAGCCCAACAAGTTTTTGCTCAAAAAAAAAAAAAAGATCTTCTTCAAGCTGAATGCGTCGTAATGAACCTTGACACATGTACCGTATGCTGTGTGCGATGTTGCATGCCGAAGCACGCTAATGCTGCCGTGATGCAATAATTACTACGCCCAAACATTCCACTTGTCCTTCATTATACAAGACAAATCAACCAAAAGCCCGTATCCGTACATTATTTCGTGTCCCAAGCCCAAGTCACAAGTCGCAAAAGTCCCCGGCGCAATTCCTCACTTTTTGTTGCTGTTGTCCCATGCCAGTCCCCAAGTCATAAAATACTATATATAGTCCAATGTGATACAATCAAGAAAGCAAAAATCCCAATGCCCCCCACGCTGTAAACGCCACGCCAAACTGATCGAGGTGCCGTTTCTATGCCCCATTCAAAGTATAATCAGGTCTCATCCAATACATCTTTAAAAACAAACGACAATTTTCGCAATTCTTCATAGCCAACTGGGTATGGGGAAAAGACTCGGATTGCTGATTATTGACCAGTCTGATTTCCTTGCCCATTGTTAATGTCATGGTTCTCGAATAGGCCGAGGACATCACCATCACTCGGAATATACTCGAGCCATCCACTCATGAGATCTGGTTGTTGTAAGCCCAAAGCACCAATATCAATATCCTGGCTGTCGAATGTGATGCCATCCATGCTTCCATTTCCGAATGTCCAGGATGATTGATATGGCATGCCCTGTGCGTAATAAACACTATTGTTGGCTGTGCCCCCGCCGCGGCCTTGGGAGTTACCGTCTGCCAAATTGCTCGTTGGCGACGCAGTATATCCTTCATAGCTGGCAGAATGTTGGCTGACGGGGGTAAACCCGGAGGGCATGTAAACTTTTGATCCTTCGGCCCCAGGATCGGAGAAACCGTCGCTGGTCCCTGCAACATGGCTCTGGCCGGCTGCATTAGATAGAGTAGACGGCCTTCTAGCCCGAGTCCAGCGAGGCGAAGTAGTCGGCCCAGCTAGATTTGATGGTGGAACCGCTGGCGGATACATGCTACCTGGTTCCGCAGGCATACTTTGTCTGATAGGGTCGTAAAGCATATTTCCTGGAGGCGTGCTTGCTTGACGTTGTTGAACGCTCCGAGCGTGTTGATGAGGAGCATTGCTCACGGGATGACCATTTGAGTTTTGGTACATCAAAGTCAGATTCGAGTTAGGTGAGTTCGCCGTGCCAGCCAAGCTCCAAGCAATGGGCGGCCCGCCAACTTTCGGAGAAGTCTGGGTCAAATGGCCAAAATCACCAGCAACTCCAGGCTGAAGAGGTGGCATCTTTGTGCTTTCGTACTCTTCAGAGGTATATGTCTCGCAATCCCAGATACCTTTGGCCTTCTGGTCCAGGGCCGTGAGAATGTATTTAACGCCTCCCCAATATGCATGCATCTGTTGCAATGAGTTATAGCAGCGCTGATAATTCTGGTTTGCTGCAGAAGCAAGAAGCGAGTGCCTGGAGTGCTTAGAGTTTGACGTCTTTGTCTGCGTGGCTGGACGCTTCGTCACCGCTGGGGGGGAGCTTTCTCTCGACGAGCCTTCAGACGCATTGGCACTTGATTCCATGAGAAAAGCGCATGCAGCAATGTAAATTGGCTGGCTGGTGAACGGGTTGCCAATGAAGCTTATTGGGTCTATGAGGTCGGCAAATGACAATATGTCGCAAATTGTTTTCGCACTGCTCATGCTCAGCTCGCGACTGTCTGGAAGGAGTTGGTGCTCAGTCCGCAGTCCCCCAAAAGGTGTCAACAGTGTGGGCTGGTGAAGTACAATAAACAGGGCGTGAAACCAAAAATGCAAAAGTATAAAGGTCGTCCCTTGCCTAAGGTTTAAATATGCTTTGAAGTTGCTGACATTGAACTGCAGCCGGGTATCCCAATTTTTATACATCTTGGTAACCTCGTGTTCCATTGTAGCAAGTTTGCGCCATTTGTCCTCGGTGAGATCGCGGACATCGCGGATGTTATTTAGAATGTCAGACACTCGCCCGTACAAGTGGATGATTTCCAAAAGCACTGGAAAGAGCACCGGCCACCCGGTTTCAGGGTCGACCCTCGCGGCTGGAAAGGGCAGCTCGAAGTCGTCGTCCCGAAATGTGACTGGACGACCCGTACCCGAGGATATGACTCTGTCCAGGAAGAAGACGGCCCAAAACGTGTCGATGCGCTCTTGTTCCACTTCCTTTTGCTCGTCAAGGCTTAGGGCATCAGAGTCACTCGTCTTCCTATCCTCTGGACTCTCAGAATCTCCATTTCCCCGGCTTCTGTGTCTTGTGTACCATGGATCTTTCTCGCCTTGATATTGGATGCCGACCCTCTTCTGCAAGCCTAAATCCACAGCCATCCGAATGGCAAGGCCGAGATACATCCATAACGCGCTGTCTTGGTTGGCGCCGAAGCCCTCGTAAGCCATGAGAAGCAATGCCTGGACGGCTCCGACTGAGGGACAGGGAAACGTTTCTACAGTGGCATGTTTGGCTCGTTGTGCGAAAACCTGGCCCCTCTCCGTCCTAGGCATCTTGTCGTTCCCGCTAGTGAATTGAGAAATGTCGCAAAACCTGGCCCCAATGGCGCATATGGCATCAACGAGTATGGGTTCAACTCGCTTCTCCTTGACCATTTGTACAAACTTGGGTTTCTTCAGGAAGGGATAATTGCAGCCCAGGTGCAAGAAGAAGGTATCGACCAGAGACAGGATGACTGGGTGGACGGGTAGGTGACTACTGGGGTCATAAACCGGCATGTCCTCCACGGCAACATCACTACCCACGGCAATACTGCTTCCACGGAGGCCACTCGGATTTGACAATGGCGATGCTGCGGACTGTGATCCTCCTGTAGACCTGCGCCTGTCTCGGACAGATACGACCATTTGTTTGAATCCAGGCACAATCGCAGTGGGACCGAAATATCGAAAGTATGGCACTCGATGGTTGTAATTGCGGCGCAAAGTCGGTGAGCCTGGGGTGTCGTCGGAATTGGCTGAAGGGTGTGATGCGTGTTGTGTCGGAGAGATGGGAGGCTTAAGGGTGTCTAGTTCAGTGCGGGCGACGAAAGGTTTGCGATATGGGGATAAGGAGCCATGTTTCTTGGTTTCATGGCCGTTGACGATGACGACACTGTTGGTGGTTGGCGGTGTGGGTATAGCATCGGATTTCTCGCGCCCCGTTTTCTTGCTGTCGTCCTCGGTTGGAATGTCATCCAAGGGGATGTCATCGTCTTCAGCAGCAAGCTTAGCTTCAAGCGATTCTACAGGAACATCTTTTCGGCTATCTTCTGGATATCCCTGACACTGATGTCCATTTTTGGTGCATGTCGAACAGACCGGTCGCTCACCGGCGCATCTCGTCTTCCGTCGTCGGCAGGTCAAGCAACTGCAGTACTAGTTAGAGGATCGGACCATTTGGTTTGGACTCGAACAATATTCAGGCCATGCTGTGTTTTGAGGAATGGCGAGGCGCACGAGGGGTAGTTGGAAAGGACATGGCAGGCAGCATTTTGGGGAGGCCGGCGACGCAATGCAGAGTCGCAGAGGCTGAGACAAAGAGGACGATGGACTCACGCGGCGTTGATTCTGCGCCGCTTGGACGGCGGTTGGCCTTGATTGTTAACGAAGCGGATCTGGCGAGGCGGCGGAGGACCGGAATCCGTCTTGTTGAGCAGCGAGGTCATGGTTTGATTAGACCATGACCATGACGGTGAGGTGCGGTGTGAAGGTGTTTGTCGTTGTGGTGGCGTGGACGAGAGGGACACTGGGTGATGCTCGCCTTTGTTTCGCGGGGAATGCTCGGGTTGGGCGTCGCGGGTCGGCCCAGTCGTGCTTCACGATACTAGGCGCAGGACGGGTCCCAAGGGAACAAAGGGGTGCGGCGCACAAATTTCAGACGAAGCCAGCGCAAAGCATAAATGGCAAGAGGGCGGAAGAGGGGGTGCTTAAACCGAGACGTCAGCGGACATGGTGGTGCCGTGCTGCTCAGCGCTGGGCAGAGGGCAGAGGACGACCACGGCAGACGAACAAAGGACGCCGGATGACAGACAGATGGCGGATGGCTGATGGCTGATGGCTGATGGCTGACGGGAGAGGGATGATGAGGTGGTGGTTTTGTGGCGGCCTACGTTGAAGACTGTTGGATGGCCTTTGTCGAGCTGGTCGGACAAGAAGCCCGAGGCGGAGACGTCCAGAAATTGCAGCTACAATGGCCAAGACGACTTAACGGGACCTAGAGATGCCGACGTGCAATAGAGGCGTCTTCAGCTCCCGCGTGCCGCAAGAGCTGTTGGCTATTATTGTTTGGCCGAGGCGTTGGCGTGGACGTTGGCGTTGGCGCCGGCGCTGGCGTTCAATGATGGCGTTGACTGACAGCTTTGGAGAGAAGCTCAGAGTGCGCATGTGCTGCTGGGTGCCAGTCACGTCTCTGAGGTTGCAAGGGTCGCTCCTGGACATTGGGGGTCATGGAGCCCAGCCAACTCGTGAGGACGGGCGGAAGACCGGGGAAGGTGCAACCACAAGCGGGCCCAGGCGGGAGGCAGGGGTGTGTGGGCGGTGGGCGGTGGGCGGTGGGCCGGTCTGGTTGCTCCTGCCCTGGACTGCAAGCGACCAAGTACGCATGTCCCGTGTACCTACCGGCTCACCTAGGGGCTACATCCTGTCGGCACGACACGCGAATACATGCACAAAGTAGCTCGATTGCCTTGCAATTGTACACTATACCCGTTCTGCAGACGCACATCAAGACCTCTAGACGGATATTTCGAGGTGACTCGTCATTTTCTGCGCCATCAGCTTTCTAAAGTTGGCCACAATCACCCCCCTCAACAAAACCCATCTCTCCAAAGGTTGCGGTTGGTACAGTCCCGAGACACATGCATTTTCTGCAAGTACATACCTACTTGCAGAAATGCACGTACATATTCATGAAGCCGAAAACATGTATCGGACTGAGACAACCTCGCTGCCACTTCTGGTTGGTGCTGGCTGGGTTGACTCGACTCCGCCCAACCGCGCCGTTTGGTCCGCACATCCTTATTTTCAGCTCGACTCGACGACATCGACATATAATAGCACAAGACCGCCCGATGTGCGACTACCAGCACAAACTTTAAAGCATGCCGAGTCTTCCGATACCAGACGACCCTCTACTGCTCAGTTGCCTGTGAATAGCATCTCATGCCAAGGCTACAATACAGAATCAACCATCTACCCGTCTGGGACCATCCAAACAAGGCAACTTGATGTAGGGAATGCATCACGACGATCCCTGCGACATCCTGCGCCTCTTCATGGCTTTAGGACGGAGCCTAAACTGAGGAAAACCGGGGCAGTGCGGGCTCCAGCATCGGCGGAACGTTTGCTTGGCTCGTCGGCATTGTCTTGCACGACAGGAAAAGATGCCGACTCCCTGGTTATGGCCAGGCTTCCCCAGTGACCCATCCATCTCGGGCCGGAAATCAGCGGGCCATACTCCGTAAAGTCCTCCGAGCTGTGAAGAAGGTTTACCTGTAACTTGGCCAAACTGTGGCTTTCTCCCAACCTGGCTAATAGTTTGCAGATACGTACCTTTTTTCCGTCTCCTCCTTTACCATTCGCTCACTAGGCGGCTGTGGCAATCAAGTCATATTGCGAGCAGGGGGTTCAAAGGTCTGTGTGTCTGGAGTGCAGCTTTAAACGTGTTACCAAAGGAGAAAATCCTGGATGACGGTGCACCGTTTTTAAACCCAATAGTCTACAACTTGTCTACAAACGAAGGCAACTTCATTCAATGTAAGGCTCTTTGCTAAATTCTTTGCGGGCATGCTCGCCTGTCCAGTTAGCTATACTCCGTATGACCCTCTGAATCGATATACACTACCAGCCAACAGGAATTCTATGGTTTTGTCGACCAGACCCTGTGTTCACTTTGCGCATCAACATCGCTTGCATGATAGAGTCAGCATAGGATCGATTCACAATGCGAGGCCGCCAACAGTGAGAGGCAATCACCTCTCTCACAAGGGTAGGTAGTCCGGCAACGCAGACCGGCCTCTCGAGTATTCATACTAGCCGACTGGAGTCTCGACTGAAAGCTCCAAGAACTATGATGCGGCGGATGCCCGACAGGATGCCGCATCTAGGAAAATGAAGAGCTTGTTTTAGCGATACTGCAGTGCAATTTTGCCAGCAACAGGAGCCAAGTCATGTCACACCATAATACACGTGGACCGTTGATTCTGTAATACAGTGCCATCAGAGGGATACGGCACGCCAGCGAAGTAGACTACGGAACAGGTTTTATTGTCAGACCACTGCAGAATACTAACTATGTTGTTCAGTGACGAATCTGCTTCATTGCAGGGCTTCCGCTTGACATTGTGTCACCTAGGGACATGGCGGGATAAAGCACTCATTCATATTATTCCAATGCCCTTTGTCTTTTGGTCTTTGGGTACTCGGAATCGCTTGCCTTTGGCACCTGTTCTGGGAAACATAGGCGGCTCCCTTTGCACAGTCTCGTCCCAAGTCTCCTCATCAAGCCCATTAGCAATTATCACGTCTTTTCTCATATCTACAGGGGAAACAAAGAGTTCTTATCCAAAAACGATGGTCATTCCCATGTCCTCGCTCACTCTTCTCCATAGATCCTTCTTACCCTGCCCTGGAGTGATGATCGCCTCTGGGCTGTGGTCATCGATCTCATCCGCCCGGTTCCAGACTTCTTGCACCACCTCCCAAGCTCTGTCGATATTTGTCATTCCCTGCCTTTGGCCAATGCCCCTAAAAGCTTTGCTGGCCAAATCTCTATCTGTTGGTTCAACAGCCTCACAGGACGCAACAAACAAGGGCCATAGCAGTGCACCCATAGGTCCTTCGTGTCTCACCGTCGCCTCACAGTGCACGAGGCTGATGGAGGTATGGCGCTGCACCGTTGGGTCACCTCTAGGAGAATCATAAATGGTTCGATGCAGGTACACCAGAGCCGAGTGCCTGTAGGCCAAGGCCGTATTGAAAATGCTTTGAAACTGACTCATTCTCGCCCCAAAACTGGCGGTTGATTGTTCAAGATTAGTCTGGGGATCACAGACTACTGGTAGCATCGGCTGCCATTCCTCGAGAGAAGATTCAACAGCGGCGCATTCCGCGCCGAATCTAGCACGCAGATCGGCAGTACCCGACAAGTCACCACGAGATACTGATTCTTCCATACAGTTCTTTAGAGTAAGGAGACCCGATAGTCTGTGAATGACTGGCCATAGAGATGTGGCGAGGCCGAGCAACGCGTCCACGCTGACAGGTGGCGATGATGAGCCTTGTGAGTCGGTCTGCTCAAGGAGCCCCGTGAAACTGTCACAGCTTGGATGATCCGACACTGGCGCCGTACCAGATGACAAAGCTGCAATCACATCGTAAAATCGGAACGCCTGGTTGGACGAGTTAGGTATTTACCTTGTGTTCTGATTTGCGGCGGACTTACTCGGTCTAAAAACAAACTGGTCTGGTCATTTCTACTCGGTCCATTCCGCATGATCGCCATCGCCCCCTTTAAATGACCTTCGACCAGATTTGAACGCCGTCTTTGTACGAGCTATGATACTGTGAGTTGATCGATGACAAAACAACGACAAAGAAACGTTTATCGGACTCACCACCTCGTAGTACACTAGTAAAATAATGGTTGCCAGCAACTCATTCTTGTCTCCATTATTGCCCTTTCCTATGAGATTTGCCAGGTTACGAATGGCTTCATTGTGAAATTGAATACTCTTTTGGTCGTTCTCCATCTTCTGAGCCCTGTTTCCTTCCAAGTGGGCGCTGGCGAGGGCGTAAATGGCACTCTTAACAGCCGGACTGTTGTGCGCAAGTGGAAGAACAAGTTGCTGGAATGGGTTTCCTTCATCTTCTCTCAAAACTATCAGATGGGAAAGGGTATTGCAAAAATGGTTCACAAGGACTCGATGATGGTAGTCGTTGGAAAACTCCTCAAATGCAGGTGCACAAAACTCGAACAGCGGCGACGGGGTGGCTGCAGGCGCTGTGAGGGGGAGGGATGGGTTGTGACTGGACTTTGAATGGACAAGGAGGCTCCCAGGTAGGTGTTGGGTTCCATTACTCAACAGAGGTAATGAATCATGGCCAAGGGGGCCCAGAGAATCGCGTCCACAGTCCTTTGATATGGACTCAGAGCCGTCCCACGGAACGGGGTGGTCTGTTTCGTGGGAGGTTGATGTCCCCGTCAACGCCAGCTGATGATCTGGCGTTGTCTGGACTGACACGCAGCTCTTGGAATCCCCAGGAAGTAGGGGGGATTCTTCATTTGATACTTTTTTGTTGGAAACCTCGATGTTGCGGCGCTGACGCGGCTTGACTGGTTCATACCGACACTCCTCGCCATGCTCCTGACATCTACTACAAGTTGGCCGAAGTTCATCACACTTCTTCTTCTATTGTACATCTTGTTAGTGGCACCAACGACACGACATGGCGAAGGTGGAATAATACCTTGTCTTTGCTGCGTTGAGTTAGCGATGAAGACTGGCCACGAAGTCGTCAAGACATGGAATGGAGAATGCTCACCAATAGTTGCAACCTGTGTCGAGTGTGGGACAGCGATTAGCAGCGAAATTTTACGATCGCATAGAGCGGACTGACAGGCCGCTGCACAACACAAACCAACTCGTGAGACTCACCAGCCCGTGATCGCTTTCTGGGGACTTTGGGGGCAGCAAGCCTTGTGTACAGGAGCATCTTTTCGGCTGCCACGGCGGTGAAGAAAAGCGAAGTTGCACGGTAATTTTCGAAGTCGTTCAATCGAGGCAAAACGTCCGACGCGGCAGTTGAGGGTGGCCTTGGCGACCCTTGCGATCCTTGCGATTCGCCTAGTTAATTTAAACCTGGTAATGCAGCGGCCTGCTGAGATTGAGTGAAACCAGCAGCCGAAATAGCGTCGTATCGAACGCTGGCCACTGGTTATGGAGTACGTATGCTCTGGGCTGGATGAGTGAGACTAGGATGAGCCAACCACGATGGAATATGAATGGTTTCAACAAGTTCTGGCCCGCCACAGGCAAACGTCGTCACGCGCCGTCATCTGACTACGGGGTTGCAGCTCAGCAAGGCCTCGGGGGGGACAAGGCAGGACGCGATCTGTCAAGGATGAATGAAGCCTTGGAAATATGGACGTCAGAAGGCCGTACTATCCTGGAGGCGGAGGAGGCAGGCCCGTGGCTCTCCAAGGTGAAAGGTGGCGCTGGACTTGGTCTCCTCGTCCACTCAACATCGTGACATTGCGTCGAATTGCTTGCAGGCCCTGGCCCTGTCGGCATTGTCAGACGAGGAGAAAGGTCCACTTACACAAGCCGACGCAAGGAGGAGAATCAACGCTTTGTGCGAACCATAGCCCCGAGGCCCTCTCGTGCATGAAACTAGAATTAAAACAGGCATGGTTCACCGACCTGGCATCCCTGGTGGTATTCGCTGAAGCTTCTCGGGTGGAGAGACTGGGTTACACTGCGGGGATCCCTGATATCTCTCAGCCAAGGATACGATCATGTTGGAGGGCGCCAAGGTCATTGGCATGAACCCATCATCCGAAGTATGTATATACATACGTACATACAGAGCTGCGGCGGGATGGTGATGGCACTGGGAGGTTTCGGGTATTTTGGAAGGAAGGCATGGAACATTCTGAAGCCCCCTGACTTCGGCCCTTACCACGAGCCAACTGTTGCGGCAGACTGTCCGCAGGCGACAGATGCAAGATGATCAACAGCGGCTCGTACGGCTTGTGGAGTCGGCCACGTTGGCATCCAGGAACGATAGCGGCGTCACCAAGAGGCATTTGGAAGTAGTCTCTCCCCCAGCTTGTGAGGCGGACTTGTCATGTTGTATCACAAGCATTCTACCGAGTATTGCATGAGGCTCATATTTTCCCATGTTATCGGGCTCTCCTTGCTACCTCATACTACAACGCTACCCTTTACTACAACGCTACTACCCTTTGTCCAGCAAATGCGATTGGCAAGCCATGGTCTCGTGTCGCCTGACGAGCAGTCGGCTGCCGTCATCAACGTGCGTCTTGCCCTACCCGTCGGACGATACTAGTGCGTGGCGTACATGTAGGCATGCAACGCAACTTGTCGCTTATCAAAATCATCAATTGCCGACAAGACACGACGCATTTGCCGCCGGGGCGCCCCTCGCTGCCATGTTTGCCTGTTTCTCATCAAACCGCCATGATGGATGGACGGCTGCTCACGCAATCATCTCCACAACCAACATGTTTCGGGAGCCCAGCCGAGAGGATCAAGTTTCCCCAGATTCGCTACAGGCAGGCCAGGAAATGACATGTTACTATCCGAACGTGGTCTCACCAACGGTCAATGTGCCCGCATCACAACCTGTGGCCAATAGGCTTTTCCGAGCGCGATACGGAGTACTCCGACCGGAAATGAATACAATAGATGTTCTTCTCTGCAGGAAATACAAGCGTTTGCTTGCAACCGAGCTCGATCCGGTCCACCTGCCCTTTTGCCTCCTACCGTCTCCAGCCAATGTGCCGTGCATGAGGCAGGCCTGCAAGTGACACGTATACCGTCGATATCGCTCATTATGCTTCGGGTTCTTGTCGACTGATACGCAGACACTTTACGCCTCCACTATGGACCAAACTAGTATGTAGTTCGGCATGCAACATTCTGCCCCAGCCCTGATTAAGCTAGTTTTATTGCCGTGCCACATGGAGTATTCTCACATTGCGCAGCTTCGATCTGGATCAACACGGGAACAAGGCAACCATCGGCGTCGATGCCTAGGTTTGTAAGGGCCGCGGGAATGACGCTTGACAGGGCATGTGGCATGTGCTATGTGCCATTGTGTCATGGTGCGCTCTGAGGCGGGTATTGCGGATGGAATAACCGGCAGTATTTTATCCGTCGCTTTTATTTTCTCGAGTCGAGTTTGTACGAGGGAGAATATTGAACGTGCCCATTATACGCCTTGTCCCGCACGGAGCATGGTCTTATGATGAGGAAGATGGACTACCCTGTATACCTGCCTTGTATCCTGAGCAGAGCATTTCCACATGTAGTTTTTGTAGTTTTGTAATATTTTATAGTTTTTTTATAATAAATAATATTAAATATAATAAAATACTTGTATAATTATAAATTTTATAAATAACTAGTATTAATTCTATATTATAAGCTAATATTAAAAAAAATTGTTTTTCATACCCAGTTACCCCCGCAGTCGATCATGGCTTAAGCATCCTCAAGCTCAATCTACTTACCCGGCTTCCCTTACAGTATTGTGAGCACAATGCGGAGCACATCTGCCGAAGCCAATATTCTTCCACCGCAAGGGCAAAGTCACCGTCTATCGGCCTAGTTCATCTTTACCAGGTCATCCGGCTTCCACGTCTGGTCAAAGAAGTCCACGCCAGGGCCATAAAGACGGACGGTAACCAAAAAGTTGAGGCCGTCGACTGTCTGTATCCAGTTGGTGTCGGCTGCCTCAGCGGGTTTTCCCGGCCCGAAATACACATCGACCGATGCGTCGGCGTTGGTCTTGACCCCGTCGAGCCCATTGACCGAGGGCAGGAGCTGCTCAGCGGCCGTCATCGTCCCGTCCGTGATATTGTACGCCGTGACGGCCCAGAACAGCTCGGCTGGTGGATTCGGCGGAAGGTGAAGCTTGTACGAGTTGGAGCCGTCGAGGAACTCGCCCGTGGCGTCGCGCGTCGTAAATGGGTACTTGGAGCCGCCGTCGATGGTGCGCATCACCATGGCCGGAGACGAAGCATACGCGGCCTGGAAGTAGGATGCTCGTTGGGCGACGTCGAGGTAGCCGTCTTGCATCCATTCCGCCGTGGCACAGGCCCAGGTGTTCTGATACTGGCGATCAGGGTAATAGAGATGGCGCTTGTCCGGTCGTCCGAGCTGGCGGGCTGCCAGGACCATCCTCGGTGCCATGGCCACGGCCTTTTGGAGAGCTGCGTTTTGCGTGTCGTTTGGTTGGAAGGGGCCGTCTTTGACGATGCCGATGGCGGCGAGGAGGCCGCGCGTGATGGGATCGATGGCATCCACCGGCTCGTAGTCGACAAAGGCCTTGAGTTTTGTCCAGTACGAATTGTCGACGGGATACATCATGTTTATGCGTATGCCGCTGCCGTTTGGGAATTCCATGGGCTTGACGTCCTTTTCCGCCGTCCAGAGCGGATAGACGCGGGTCTGCTCGGCATTTTCCACAGCCGGCGCCGGGTCTGGACCATCCTCGCCCCGGGGCATCATGGTGCGGAAGAAGAGAAGGACATTGTTCGTCGACGACCGGAAGGAAAAGTAGCCCCCGGGGACCTGTTGGTCGTATCCCGGCGGCAGAAGCAGGTAGAGACCGCCGTTGGCGCCGTCGGGCCCGGTCGCGCCCACGTCGGTGATGGTGCGCTGATAAAAGTCGGTAAACATGCCCATGACGTTGGGCGGCGCTGCGACAACGAGCGGGCCGTCCTGCTTCAGATCCAGGTAGCTCATGGAGTAGATGACGTCGGCGTTGGGTGTTGGAAACCCAGGCGCGGCTGTCCATGCGATCCTTCCAGATGGGGAGGACATTTGTACCCGGATCCAAACTGGGCCTCGGACCCGTCGCGGAGGCCGATGACGTTGAGGATGGGAATGGTCAGGATATAGGCCTGCACGGCGTTTTGGTAGTAGAGTTGGTCACGGAGCGATTCCGCCTCCGTGTGTGGCAGCCAGTTGCCCTGGTTGATTTGCTTCATCAACGGTGAAAGTTCCTCGGCCATGTTGAGCACAGATGGAGGAAAGGCTTGGGGTTAAATAGTAATGGTGGGATAGAAGAAAGGAGGAGTTTGAATAAATAAAAATATCCTAGTAAATATGTGCTTCACTACGCTTTCGCCTTTTAGGGCTCATGAATAACATCGTCTTGGCAATATGTTATTTATACACGAGGCCATGGCCGATGCGTAATGAAAAACTCGGAAAAACTACAAAAGGGCCAGAAGGCGCCCCTCGTTTATAGGTTACAAGAAGAGCAGTTATTGCAGGAAGGAAAAGCAATTCTTGTGAGGGGTAGCCTAGGTTTTGCTATATTCAGCAGAATAAAATATGATGATATGCTTTATGACGACACACTGTTATAACGAAGCGGTACATTTTGTTCAGCTATTGGACGCCATGCATCTGCAGGTGAATAAATATACAGATACTATCCATAGGTTGCACTCGGTGTAGGCCTCGGCCATGGCCTCAATCACGTTATCCTGACTCTCCCTCGAGGATAAAATCGCCATCATTTCCTTGACGTTGACAGCATTGCTTTCTCGTCGATGTGCGCAAGTAAGCTTGAAGCGCTCATTCTCTGCCATCATCGGAGCCCATCTTTCTTCACTTATCAGCCTTGATTCTTAAACCCCCAAGACCGACAATGGTGAGTGCCGGCACAAACAGTTTCCCCTGCTACTGTAAACGGCCTTTCTCGTCGCAGCCACAACTAATGCCGGTTCCAAGGGACCCGTAGGTGTGACACCGCCTGCTACGGGCATCGTCATGACGCCCGGCTATGCCCGAGCGATTGCGCAGATGGCCTACATCTGGGGCTGGCCGATGGTGAACATGCTCAATCGTGCGGCCAGCGTCACGCAAGCGCCGCAGCCGGCCCTGCTCAACGGCATCTTGCCCGTCGCGCCGTACGGCCAAATCGGCATGCTGCACGACTACATCGAGCCGGCCGAGACGTTTGTCACCTGTCCCAACCAGGACGTCGTCTACGGGCTCGGCTACTTCGCGCTCGACGAGCAGCCCGTCATCGCGCAGGTGCCCGACTTTGGCGACCGCTTCTGGGTCTACGCCCTCTACGACGCACGCACCGACCAGTTCGGCCAGCTCGGCAAGCCCTACAACACCAAGCCCGGCTTCTACCTGCTGGTGGGGCCGAGATGGAGCGGCCTGAAGCCGGACGGCGTCCGCGACGTGATTCGGTGCCCGACGCCGCTCGCCAACGCCATCCCGCGCATCTTCCAGGATGACACGCCCGAGGACAAGGCGGCGATCCAGACGGTAATCAACAGCGTCGTCTTTTATCCGCTCGAGGACTTTACCGGCGAGATGAAGACGATCGACTGGGCCCACGTCGAGGACATTCCCGGCCCGGGAGGCGACGGCGGCGGCGGCGAGACCAAGTGGGTGGTCCCTCAAAAATTCTTTGATCAGCTCCCCGACGTGCTCAACACCGTCGAGCCGCTGCCAGGTGAAGAGGCGCTGTACGGACAGTTCCGTCTGCTGCTTGATTCGGCGGCCAAGGATCCCGAGCTGAAAAAGGTCGTGGTTGCGACCGCGGTCGAGGCCGAGCACACCATCATCCACCCGTTCTTCCAGTGGAAGCACAACGGGCGTCCGGCTGGCAACGGCTGGAATCGCTCGACCAACAACGCGCAGTTTGGCGTCGACTACTTTGACCGCACGGGCACCTCCAAGTCCAACATGTTCGACAACCGGCCGACGGAGACGCAGTACTTCTACACTGATTTCGACGGCGCCGGCGGCGAGCTCGAGGGCAGCGCCAGCTACGAAATCTTGTTTGCCGCGGGACAAGAGCCTCCCGTCGACGGCTTCTGGTCGCTGACGCTCTACAACGACAAGCACCTGTTCCACGCAAACGACCTCGCGCGCTACTCGCTCGGCACCAAGAACAAGACGCTGCGCCGCAACGCCGACGGCTCGCTGACCCTCTACGCGGGCGCCAAGTCACCGGGCGCCGACAAGGAGAGCAACTGGCTGCCGGCCCCGGATGGCCACTTCTCGCTCTACATCCGTGCCTACTGGGGCCGGGAGGCCATTCTCGACGGCTCCTGGACGCCGCCTGTCATTGCAAAAGTCGAGTGACGGGGGACAGCGGGCGTTGAAAAAGTTGAGCGGCAAACGTTGCACGAGGCAAAATATTTCGGGAGGAAAAACTTTTTTGGTCATGAAAATCTGTCACTATAATTATTCTGCTAGTCGTTCATATTAGGGCTTTTTGACAGCCGTCTATGCGCAGGGAGTGAGTGAGCCTGTGCATTGTCACCGACTTGCATATTGACACTATGAAATGTATAAGCGACGCAACCGGCAAGAGCTTCCGAGACAGCGAGGAGATTTGTTATAAAGGAGGAAGATGATCATCTCGGGCCTGTCATCTGGACCAGCCTTGTTCATCCGTCGACTCATCGGTTCGCTAAAGTACGCTGAGCATGATTGAGCTTTAGGGACAAAGCTGAATGCTCTTTCTGCTGCATGGTATCAGAGATGGAATGATGGCGCTAACAAGGCAACCAACTCGTAGTCATTCCTGTAGGAGTAGCCTTATTATAAGGCCTTTTATTAGATAAATTACTTTATTGTTCTTGTTAAAGATGAAATCTCATGCATGGTGTGCATTATAGGATAATTCCCTGGCTCGGGCCGAGTCTCGCCCATGTGTGTGATAGCTATAGCGGGCATTTCAAAAAGTATAATTTATTTATAAAATTTATTTATTACCTTTACTATTTTTATAAGCTTATAAAAATAAGAAAAGCGTATAAATAAAGCTATTAAAAGGCAACCTAATATAAAAAGTATTATAATTTTTCGTAGTTTATAAATACCTTGATATAAAATCTTGGCTTTTTAATACTACTTGAATAATTATTAATATTAGGAGAATACTTTTACCTTGTTAGAAAAAAAGCTGTATATTATTATTACTTATAGTCTATTATACTTTTACCTTCAGAAACACGACTTATAGTAAACGGGTTTACGGACACAACGACCATGGTTTTCTCCCCAACAGGTCGTATATTCTGTTTATTAACATCAGGTGTTTGTAATCTGAGCCGGCGATAGGTCAAGTTCCTCTTCCAGTTTGAGAAGGAAGCTGTCTTCCCCTTCCGTGAACTTGCCCTCGTGTCATGTCGTCGCTTAACACCCCCTGGCAGTGCCGGTATACGACTTGTGACACCTCTCCTAGACTTCTCGCATGCTGCGTGACCGCTTTCTGTGCACATGTCCCAGTCGAAATGTAGCTGGAACGTTGCGCCGTCATTCACAATACTGCGCTTCAGAAGGACATTTGTAATGCCCATTCGTTCAAGTCTGCTTTTACACCGTCGACATTGTTGGTTGAGCGTGGCATTGCCGGTTGGAGCAGACTTCGTAGCTGATGCTCACTTGTCCACGTATTGGGATGATTCGGTTTCACTAGAACGAATACTAATTACAGTCCGTCACTCGCATGCTTTCAGCACCAAAAAAAAAAAAAAAAAAAGGCTTAGAAGGCTCATCAACGAGCCCAAAAGGCAACAAGTTTGTCAAAGTCGCACATCGTCAAGCTCGTCACATCACCATCATCCTTGGTAATCTCCTTCCTCAAGCGACAAGCAACTCTTAGAGCAATAGAAGCCTTTTGCGTCTTACCTGTCGCCTCGAACAATTTGCCCTTCATGAAAGTAGTGCGAGCAATCTCGTTCTTGTGTGCACTTGGATCAACAGACCAAATGTCTAGTGCCTCATTGATCATGGCACTAAAGGAGGTCAGACAAACGTCTAGCTCAGTGACTGAAGGTGGCAGCACTCACATCGCCTCTTCGCTCCGACCCAAGCGTAGAAAGTGTTGGGCAATTTTGTGGGCGACATTTGCAGTGTAGAAATCTCCGTCACCCACCGTCGCGCGCATGTGGCGCCACGCTCTCTGGTGGTAATCAAAACTCTCGTCCCATTGATTTTGCGCGGCACCGAGGTTGCCAAGTGCATAAAAAATCAGACCAGTCCGGACAGATTCCCCATCTTCTTTGCCCAGAGCCTTCTCTCTCCCCGCTAAGCTATCCAGGAGAAGCGTGCTGCACTCTTCAAACTTGCCTTGCGCGAGAAGGGCCCAGCTCAGATTGACCTCACCCGAGCGCGGAATGTAGTTGCCGAGACATTTGCGTATCTGCAGCGCCTCCTTAAGATCGGCTTCGCCCTCTTCGTATCGTCTATCCTGAATGCGTGAGATTCCTCGCTCCGCGTAGGCGAGGTATAATCTCTCGTCTGCAACGCCCAGCTCTCTGCAGATTTTGGAAACTAGGTCGAGAGAACGTTCTTTATGAATGCGGCTTGTGTCGAAGTCGCTCGCATCCATGGCGATTGCTCCTAGGCAGAAATGGATGTCTGCAAGCAGGGAATCCCGATCAGCGTGTGTTGAGGCATCGCAGATACTGTGAGCGGTTTCGAAGAAGCCATCAAACTGCCTTGTTCGTCCTCGCTCTTTTTGGTACCTGGTAACATTAGACTATATAGCAAGGAATGGCTCGACTATGGGATACGTACCATGCAGCCTCATTAAGTAGCTTTGCAAAGAGTAAACTGGTGGCCTCGGGAACATTTGTAATGGCTGACCACAGCTGATGTGTCCTTAAAATGTGCGGGTAAATGGCTGCACAAGGAGGCCACCTTGCAACATGTAATCTGCCGCCGGTTGATTTTGGCAGGGGTAACTCTGGCTCCTTTGATGGCTTGGGCATAGCCGCTGGCCAGTTAGCCCACAGCATTCGTACGACTTGGTCGAATATGAGCCGTTTCTTCGTTGCATCCATTGTTGCAATGACTGCATCTTGCACAATGCGATGGACCGTTAACTGCTGCTTTGTCTTATCTCGATGGACCAGAGATGATTGCAAGAGGTCAGCTCGGGCCTCAATGTAGCTACTCTTCTTGAATTGTGCGCCCCCGGAAAACAAATTTGCCGACACTTCCATCAACAAGTCTTCTCCAATGACATCTGGATCAAGAAATGAAACTAGCTCCAATAGCTGTCGAGCTTGAGGCTTCAGCTTTTCTAATGCCCAAACAGTGGAGAGAGAGTGACGATATGTGACCAAATTGGTGTCAAACTTTGTCTCATAAAGATTGGCATGTTCTTCATGGTCTGCGTACAGCTCGAGGAACTCTGACAAGGTGAGGTCTTGTCGACGGATGATACCGGCCATCTGGGAAATGGCCAGAGGGACTCCACCAAGGGCATCGGAGATTTGTCGCGCTGTGTTGTCCTCCGGCTCATTGAAGATGTTGGTGAGTTGGCTGAATAGGGTCATGCTGTCTTGCTGTGAAAGTGGGCCGAGATCCAGGCCTGAAGGTCTTCTTGTGAAGATGCTTTTAGCCAATGGGTCGCGGCTAGTGATGAGAATTGATCCAGTTCCCTGAGGCCAGTAGTCCGCCAGGATCATTGGGTCATCTGCATTGTCGAATATGAGCAGCCAGGTCGCTTCTGAACTAGCTTGACCCGGCTGAACAATATCATCCGACGCCAATAAATGCTTTCGAGGGTTAGAAAGCCATCCTTTTACAATTTCTCTGCTGACAACCTGACTCTTGCACTCGGATGGATCTTCGAGTCCTAGTGTCAGCGAAATTTGTTGGTATTGTTGGTCAAGTTTCGCGATCTCATCAGCCACGACCCAAAATACTGCATCAAACGAAGCCCTGTGACGTCGGGAGAATTCGCGGGCTATTTCCGTCTTTCCAATCCCCCCAAATCCGCAAAGTGCAAATTGCCGTAGAGCGGTGCTCGACCCTGTCACTATGTCCTTCGAAGGCAAGAGCTCGCCCGCAAGACGCTCCAAGATATCTTCACGGCCACAAAAATCTTGATTTGCCGATTGCGTATTGAGAAGAAAGCAAGGTAGGTGAAGGAATCTCCGAATCTCTGTGTTTGGCTTGGTAGGATATACTAGTTCAAACCCCGAAAGGGATGTCCCTTCTGTTGCTCTGTTCGAAGGCCAATCTGTTGCTTTGTTCGATGGCCATTCGGTGAGCTCCAGTTGCTCAACTACTTGATTTCAGTGCGATAACCTGGTGCCAATCAAGGATGCCAGACCCACCTTGAAGTGGTAGTTCGCTCATTGTCGGCGAGTAAGCGCTCATCGTTGCATATTGATATTCCTCTAAAGCCATTAGTACCAGTAAGCAGCCTACCGATAACTTTATAACCTACGGTCCTCGAGTCGAAGTGCAACAAGACGCACAGCGTCGATTAAAGTCTCGTAAACGAACCTGTTGAACTTGGGCAAGCCTTCACCGCCAACGCTCTTGGTGAAAATGCATGTATCGTTGTGGTTGAGATTGAGGCCAATAACTGTTTCCATTGGCGCATAGGTCGAACAAGCTTCGCGGTTGACCAACTAGCTTCTGAGTCAGCATTTATAGCTCAGAGAAGAGTTGCAGACCAACTACTTGGTACTTTGGGCGCAATGGTGTTGAACTGTTTTTCGATTCTCTCAGCTCATAAACGGATAGTATGGGGGTACGGAACGAGATTCCCTCGAATCTATCTGCGAGGTCGAGTAAAATAGCACCTTCCTGCTCAATATTCTCATTTGGAATTTTTAGGTTCTTTCCGGTGGTTGTTTCCAAGATGTCTCGAAATCGTATGAAGCACGTGGTCTTATCGCCATAGCGATGCGGAGTGCTTAGGAAGATAACGCCAGCTATGGCGTTGACGATTGATCCATAACGATTAAACTGTTTGTTAGCGACGCATAAAGCCTGTTTGACTATAATGCCACCCAAGCTGTGGCAGACTATTATGATTGGCTTGGCCGTCTAGGAAAGGTACGTCAGTAAGCATGCGGACGGCTCGAGGGAAGGATCCCTAGACTATTCCATACCAGATCCGAGTCTGATTGTGATCGCGCATCACCCAACTTTTGAAGAAGGTCGTAACCTGTCATCAAAAGCGACTCCCATGATGGCATGGTGCCCACAAATGGCGAAGCATATTGGAATGTCAGGATGCGTGCCCCAGCACCGGAGCCGGGTAAGCTGGCGAGCCATTCTTGGTTTGCGAACGGTCAGTTCTCCGGGGATGTCGTACCGATGCCAGGCACGAGGACAATGCTAAATTTGTGGGTAAGCGACGATGGAGTTGAGCGAGGCGGTACGTTTCTTACTCGACACCATCCTGAGAATTATCACGTGGATTCGTCAGGATTTGAAGGTGACAGGCAGCCGCCAAGCTCGCGGATGTGGCCATTACTGCAGACTTGCAAAAGCAGGACGTTCTAGTCGAGAGCAGACTGATACTAGAACTGAATAGCTCCAGTTGGAGGAGGATGGAGTTGTTGGAATGGTTTATCTCGTCTTTCAAGTTTCGGACATGGTGGATGCGGGGACACAGATGCGGGGTTACTCTCCCACGCGCAGACTGAAATTAGTATGCCCAGGCTCCTCTTTACACTTTACATGTAAATGCGTCCCGTCCGAGGACTGCAATATTATGCAGACGATCATTTTGAATCCATTTAGGCATATAATAATAATATGATGTGCCTTTCTAGCATGTGGTTGGTGAGCTCATTCTCCAAGTCGTATGATTACCTACGGCTCGATGTGATGTTCCAACCAGACTTGACATGATTACTATCAAACCTGGTACTTGCCAGTGGAGCTCCATTGACTGGAGGCTGACGGCCCGATTTTAGCGCACGTGCAGGGTCCAGGTCCAGGTCCAGGTGGATGCATGTGGTGCCAACGTACGCCGAACGTACGCGGATAGACTAAGAGGCAGAACCCCTAGTTTTGGACCGTGGCTGCCACCTGGGGATGGTGATGAAATCAATCTTTTGACAGGCACTATTCGCTTGATAATTCGGACAAGTCGTTCATACAAGTATAAGTTATTCTGACTTGCTACTATGAGAGAATAAACGCCAAGGAACAAAGATGCAGCAGAATTACGAGACAAGACTCAAGGTAGGCCGCTGTCTGCATTACATATATAGACGTAATGCCCATCTACATCTGTGCCTCATTGCATCAGTAGATAGATGCCCAACATTTCCCCTGTTCCGTCAAAGAGCATGTCTATCCTTGCGTGAAAGCGCTGGTTTGAATCGTAACGGCCCTAAAGAAGCTGTTAGGACGGCACATTGAAGCCGTACTTGTCGTAATCGAAGTGTTCTAGGCTAGGTATGCATTCAGCCCAGCCGTCATCTATATCCCCAAGCTGCCAGTCGTCTCCTACCCCAAACATGCCCGTTCTCCCAGCCAGAACGCTCTTCTGCCTTTCTTGATACTCGACCGCCACATCTGGATGTGGTACCCAGACAACCCTCATCCCAGCCCGCCTCCCAGCCTCTACCCCAGCTATGCTGTCTTCAAAGACCAAACATTCGTTGGGCATGATGGCTTTTTCGCCATCACCCACGGCTGAGTTGAGCGACTGCAGCGCGACCAAGTATATGTCGGGTGCCGGCTTCCCTCTACCCTGCCGCACTCGTGCATCGTCGCCCAGAACCCGCTTGTCGGACTGAAAGAAGCCAAGCAGCCGTCTGGTTTCCGGTGCCCTTGTTTTCAAGTCGTAGCTGTGGCTTTTGGTGCTGGATGCCAGGGCCAGCTCGACGCTGTTTCCGGAAGAAACATTACGTGCACGGCTGAGGTTCGTCACGAGCTTCTCTGCTCCGGGAAGTGGCCTGCAGTTCGGAAACTGTAGTCGGAATTGTTCAGTCAACTCACGGGCGAATTGCTCGCGGGAGATGGGCAACTTGGCCCAGTCGTGGAACACGTCGCCGTTTGTTGAGTCTGGAACACCCATGAGCTGAGCTCGAATCGACCGAGTAAAACCGGGCCGTCCATACTTGCCAAGAAGTTGGTTTGTGGAGAGGGTAATGATGTCTTCAGAATTGATGAGAAGCCCGTCCATGTCAAAAATGCAAGCCCGGATGGCGGGGAAGCTGGCGGTAGTCTCTATTAGAATCGGGATATATTGACAGTATTCTTCTCACGTAGGCACCTCAAATGCCGCTGCCAACGGCCATGCATGCATGTCTCTGTCAAGCTCACTCACTCTGTGTCTTGGGAAGCCATGAGTATTGGATGACGACCACGTGTTTTTTGTGTATGTGTTTTCAAAGTACTACATGGGATCCATGGACTGGGCCTTTGTCCGACTGCTGCAGCGCGACCCACTAGTTTTGTACCTGTGGCGGGACATTGCACTGCTGTATTCATATGGTATCCACTTTTCTTTTGTCACCAGACATTTTGGCGTTCCTCATTGGCGGCCCTAATCATACAATGCGCCAGCTACTTGAGCATGCTGATGTAAAGTCTATTCGTGCACCGGATTGAAAGCTGCGATTGTTGGTGGTTCGAAATGCCATCTTCGGGTGGTGCTGAAGGACTGGTAGTGGTGTAGCCTTGGATTCCAAGTGGCAGGTCCATGGCCCCGGAGGAGATTTTTCCAACCGTCTCTTGGTCCATCCAGGCAATGACTGAATGCACATATCGGAAAGTGTCTTGTTTGTTACGTAGCTTTGTCTCTTACCAGCCCAGCCTCCATCTCTTTTCACAAAGCACAGTGAGATGCATTGTTCCATCACAGAGAACCTTGAGCACACAGTGGAGTACTCGCGCACCAGCGAATCTCCGCAGCAGACTCTAGTGGACCCAAGTTGTTGTGTCTTGTATGTTCCGAGCCAGCATTTGGTCGATGTCTTTATTTATCATGAGGGGGATTGACTCTGGGGCATATCGAGGATGGCGCAGCGGCTGCAAGAGCTCTTCAAGCGCTAATGGCTGGTACCAAAATAGGACCCACGGGGATTGGCCACACACTCAGTGTTGGAATGTGCCCCTGATACTTAGTAGGCCCCTGGCTTTGGCGATAATTTAATGGGACGTCCCGAGCCGCCCCTTGAGCTTACATAGTGCCAGCTGAACACTGATCGTTGGTGTGAACACGACGAAGATTGAACTGAGGTCCCTGGTTCCAGTACCCCCGCCACAGCACACGCCATTTTTTAAATCAACCCTCCGCAGCTTTGCCGACTGTCAGAAAAGTACAAGACCAGTAAATCGCATCATTTTTGTTTTTGTGAAAGAACTAAGCTTTCTTGCACTCCAGATTGAAGCATGTACGTGACCTAGCTGACTGGTTTTAGTGTGGACGCCCTTGATCCCGGCGACTATGGATGAGAAGGCGCAGGAGGAATTTACCAGTCCCATGGGTCGGCCGGCGCAGCCGTCTGAGATTGCGAGCTGTGTCGTGTTTCTGGCTTGTACGGATAGCTCGTGCGTGACCGGGCAGACGGTGCACTGTAATGGCGGCGTGGTGGTGAATGCGTGAGATATTGGAACTTTTGACGGTATCAAATGGTTGGTTTGGTCATGTGGCGGCATGGGGAAATAGACTGGCATAGGGGGCTTTTGCTAGCCTTTGCATGTTTGTCAGTATGGCCCTTTTATGACTGCCTCGCAGATGGCATTATTGCATCTTGGCATATCTGCATGTCGTGATTCATCTAATTCCGCAGTTCTTATGCATGCTGTTGCTTTAATTTGGCACACAGTCAGTCGCCTTGGCATGACGAACCTGGGCTACGAGTATATAACACGAGTTTATTTTGTTGTTTACTCCGCTGGCGTATTTGAGACGCTCTAGCCTGTTGTATCCCACACCCCCAGGTTCAAGGACAAGAGTCCAAGTCTAGGCTCTTGCACGCCAACTTGGATAAATAGGAGCCGCTGTCTAAAAAGTCATGAAATTGACGCCATCCCAAATCCAGCAGATTCTGTATTTGGCAGAAATCCCGTCTAGATGCTCGTTGGCTATATGGTTGATGCACAAGTCTGCCTGCAGTATAGACAAGTTCGCGCCGCAGCCGGAGTAGCCTCCTAAATTCGCATAGTAGCCAGCCCGACATGTCTCATGGTTAGGAACCGCAGGCGTCAAAGACCATACGTGCTGCCATGTTTGCCAACAATGGAGTGTGTTCCTCGTTTCGGGGAAGAAGAATCTGATGCACGGAGTCGGAGTAAATATCCAGGACATGTAAAAGACGGGCAAGAAACGGGCAGAATTCGCTGTCCTTGGTAATCGATTCGCCCGCCCTTGAAAACTCGCCCATGATTTCTCGCTTGGGTATCGAAGCTCGGCTCACGTCCATGTAGATTTCTTCCACCGTCTTCCGATGATCCACGACGGTTCGCTCTCTCCCCATGGAAATACCGACGAGACCGTAGACTTTATCCCGCGGGTCGGTGCACTTGAAACGGCTAATCTGTGGGAGCCGAGCAGGATAGATAGTTGGCGGGTATGGCTGGTTCGGAATTCTTCCTTTTCCTTGACGACAACCAACGCTCCGGTTGCCACGACATCATCGACCTCTCGACGTTGCTCCGAGCCCATGCGCAATTTGAAGCGCAGCCCTTGGAACATGGTGCACAGGCGCTTCAGTGAAGCCAACTCTAATCTCTTGCTTCCGCAAGGGATGGTGATGTCTCTTGCCAGCAGGATTTCTTGTACAACCCATATCCTTGTCCACTAGACGTGTCCGTCGACGGAACGAAAGGTCTATATTCGTATCTGGATTTAGTCATATAGAAACGGACGGCCAAGCTGAGCCAGTTACTTCCTGGGTACATGGCACTTGTCATTTCCCCTTGAACTGTATACAGCTCGGCCAAGTGGCTTGTTCTATACACGGGATTAATAGTGCCCACGTCTCTGTTGTCAAAGTACCACTAAAAGAATATTCGTCGCTGGCCAAATTTCCGACGGATGACGTATTTTGACCGTTTAGAGGTGGCCTCTTTGACAAGAATCAGCCATACAGTTGTCTCCCCGAAAATGATAGTCCGCGTAGTATATTAAACCACCAACGTTAACCCTGACTCATTCACGGTACATAAGGAGTCTAATATTATTCCTATTGAGCTACCTATATACTCTCCTCCTGGAGTGCTAGTAGTAACATGGCATCTGCAATTGAATGCACGCCGCCTTCGCTCTCCATCCATCAGGACCTACCCTATACCATTGTGGAATTTGAAGGATCCAGAGTCTATCGCGACTACTTCAGGAACAATCATGACATGGACAAGACGGATGAGATGATAGCGGTCCTCTGAGAAGATGTTCTATGGCTCAGATGACAGAGAATCATCATGGCTCATTGCATGTGAACCAGGGGTCCCCTCCTCGCTTTGTTATAAGACAGTTATTCCATTCATATTCCTTGCGACGGTTGTGCTGCGGAAAAGACGGATAGACTTGGCCGCAGAAACAGTTGAGCAATGCTGGAAGATCAAGTAGTGCACCGTCACGATGTACGGAATGGCAGTCATTCTCAGGCAATCCATATACGCTTCAAAGAAGGATAGTAGCACCACAGATGCTTAGGGTAAGAGCCGCGATGCTGATGCGGAGCATACAGCAACAACGGCAAATGTTTGGCATGCGGAAACACATGCAACGCCGAGGACCACGTGTCCGTGATACAGCATCCTTCTCCCCTGTCTGTAAGCCAAAGATGGAGAAATAAGCTTGCATCCTTCTCCCAGCTCTAGCCATGTGGCGCGCTTACTATGAAAGTTGTCGTTGTGTCCTTGGGAAGACGGCACTGCTAACCAAACGCCAAGAGTGACGGAAATGCTGTGTGTACGTTCCGCTGACATGATAATCCTGTTTTGAGTCTCTCCACGTGCGCAAATGGGACCTTTCTGGGCGTCTTTCAACTACGACTTGTTCCTCCGAAGACTAGGCTGCGTGGGTTTCGCATGCAGGCCTCCTCTTGGTCGGTTGTGCCCGTGTCCCCAACTGATTCCAGTTCCGCATCACCACGAATCAGGGATCAGGATGACCAGCTTGCCTGGTTCGGATTCAATATCCAGGCGGGGGCCACAGCCGCGGATTGATTAGCGGTGCTGTGAGTTATGGCGGCTTGCTGGTGCTGTGGGCAAACGTTCTCCGTGTGCCTGGTGGCGCTCGCCACGCCCGAGCAACCCGCCCAACCCTGTATGAAAGGCACCAAAGGTTGACCAGAGAGAGCCATAGTGCCTTTGTCAGGAAAGACGGGCGATATGTTGACGCAACGTGAAGCAAAAAAAAAAAAATAATATCGACCTGCAATGGACTACCATTTTTACTGGCGATGGGCGGCCAAGGTTATGGTCTCTTTGGCGTGCGGTGGGGAAAGTACTTGAGGACTCCGTACCAAAACCGCCGATCCGGCTGAAGCCATTGCCCATTACCAGCGGCTGGAGCTTGTCATCATGCATAAGCAGTGCGAGGGGACGTCACAAGATCATTCGCTGCTTATCCTGACAGATGTAACAATGACCCTGCACCGGGTCGCCGGGCAGTCGACGGGAGCGTTGCCGAATGCTCCCTCATTGTTTGCCCCAGTGGATTGACTCTGTGCTGTGGAAGGTGCTGTTTGACTCGAAACAAAAACACGCGAGCATTGTCGAGAAATCGAGTAGGAGCCTGATCAACGTTGGCAGCAGACAAGAAAAACCTAGATAGATGGTCAGATGTACATGCTATGTGTATCGCCAAGAGTCGGCTCGCCAACGGCTTGTGCCAGCTTGAGACCCTCGTCTATTTAGTTAGCGGGCAACTCGCCAAGACAAGCCGACACAAGAGGTCGAGGTGATGAAGTCGGACATTGATTTCAAAGACTTTGGTAAGGAGCCCGTCTAATTGAGGCATCTCGAAAGCTGGCGAGCGCCAACTATATTTGTCCAAGTGATACAAGTAATCAATGAGAATAAAAGAGGCAACGGCCTGGTCGAGCAGTCGGATCAAGTTCAATTACGTGGGAATTACGTGGGAAAGGGCGGATAAGCAGGAAGAAAAACGGAGTGGTGAAGTGGTCGCGGTTCAATGTTTCAATGTTCATGTCGACCAGCCCTTGCAGCTGTGGCCAGCTGAAGCGACGGGCAACACCCATTGGTCTGTTGCGTGGGTGGCGCCTGCCGGAGTAAGCTGCTATCGAACAAGGCAGGAACGACTGCATCACTACTCCGTATTCCGCAGAGGCCTTCCCTTTCCCCTCACAACTCGCAGCCCATCATGCATGTCACCGTATCCAACGTCGAGTCGCTTTCCGACCGAATCAAACTCAATTGGGGCTGCTGTTATGGTCTGCGACTGCTCTGAACATGCTCCGGCTTCCGTTTTCCACCCTCGTGCCTCTCTGCTCTGTCCTTCCTTCTCCAAGTCAGTTTCTGCTGCAGTGATACCCATCGTCTCTTCTCTCCACACGCTCTCGCTACTCCAACCACCACCTACTTCGGCGCGGTTCCAACGTGACAACCATGGTGCACAGGCCAGCCCTACTGCAGTCTTCGTATCTCACGGAATAATGTCCGGGAACCAACCATCTTTGAGCTGAACTCTCGGCGTTTCAAGGCGACGAGGCCGGGCCGTCGTCAATCAACCCCGGGGTTCCATGGGTTCGTCCTAGGATGCCCCCTCTTTGCTTTGAGAACTTTCTGTACAAGACTAACCCCGAATAGACTGGTATTAACGGGCAGACCCAACTTGCCCCCGCCGCAATAGCACCAGCGCCGACCCACCATTCTCTCTTGCTTGCCTTTCACGTTGCCTCTGGACTCAGACCCAACATCCAGAGCACGTTGACCTGCCTCATATGGGAGGTGGTGCATTTGATAGGTGGGAACCGACCCTGGGCCAGAACCTGAGCCCCGGCTCGGTGCCTTTTGTCCTGCTTTAGTCAACGTGCCCAGTTGTGGCCTTTCTTCTCGCGTCCGCCAATATCGCCCATCGCACCTGTGAGATTCGATAAACGGCTAGTTGACTCAATTCGAGTTGTACAGCTTATGCATGGGCCCCTGCCCATGTCCTCGATGGATTACGGAGTGCTCCGTTGAAAGCACTAGTGACACCTTTTGCAAACCCAGCCTCAGGGCCGCACCGCGTTGAGGTTGTATTGAGCATGCTGCCGGCTCGGCTGCATCCGCCAAGAATCGCAACATTGCGTCTTTTGAATGATCCCTCCGTCTAAGCTCGTTCCCAATGCCCCAGTAGGCTAGTGACATGGTTGTGCTTGGTGGTCCGTTGGTCCTGTCTCTCATATATAGACTGCCTCTGCCGTCTTCAACCCGGTGGACTGGCCCTTGTCTTGTCACCGACTTCCCGTAGGACAATCCTTCGCAAATCACACTCAGAGTCGCCGATCGTATCCATCAAAAGTAGCTCTTTACCTACCTACATCTCAAAATGAAGGCCGCTGTTGTTCTGTCTTTCGTTGCCGCCGCCGTTGCTGGCGCTATTGAGCCCCGGGAGGGTCACTGCGGTGGTGACAACTGCGCTCGCCAGGTCACTGGTACCCGTGATGGCCTCACTGCCATTACCTCCCGCAAGAACGACTGCTCCAACTTCATGAAGACCACCGTGGTCCCTGAAGCTACGTATGTTGCGAGTCCGGACCCTAATACGGGACCCTCACTGCCGCCAGGCATGGATGAATCCCAAGCTAACCACGTCAAACAGCACCGTCACCGTCACCATTACTGTTGATGCTGATGAGCCCGCTTCCGTGACAAAGCGTGATATTGAGTATCGTGCCGCCACTGAGGCTCCTACTGCCGTCCCTGCCTATGCTTCCTCTTGCAACAATCCCGGCAAATACTCCTCTGCGTGCTCCTGCTGGGGCATCACCGCTGTTACCGTAACCGCTCCCGTTCCTACCAAGACCGCAACCGTCACTTCTACTGCCGACTCCTGCGAGGACTTGTAAGATGTTTCACAAGACTAGTTGGAGCAGACATGTGTGGTTTTCTTGTTTTATATAAAGACCAAGTTTCGTTGTGTTTCACTGGGTTGGTCGTCCTCATTTGGCGCCTAGCCCTGGACGACCCGTTAGGCAGCTGATGGGATTTATGAACGGATATTATGACGGACAAACGACATCTGAGACGGCTTAGATGACAGATCTTCAGTCCAACTCCTACACTGTAATACACAAAGAAATATACCGTCCAGGGTCTCAGGTCCTGGCATGTTAAACCAAACCCTACAGGTTCATCTTTTCATGGGTGACGATCCGGATACGGCGCCATGTGGCAGCGCCGAACACTCAACTTGTGGCACACAAGGCCTGCAGGGCTCAAGTTTCATGGCTCATGAGCATCTCGTGTATGAACAGCGATGTGCGCTACCCGAGGACCTATCGCCCCTATCGTTTCAAAACAAACCGATGTCGGCTGTTGAAACTCCTGGATCAATTTGAAATTACCACAGTAGTCTCAGGATGCGCTTCTCGGCTAGCCAGGTCCTCTACAATCTTTCCTAGGTGGTTTTATTTGGGATTTTATCATGTTTTGTTATTTCCAGTCGAGACATTGACTTTTCTTAGCGAGATTTCCGTACATGCTTTCGTCGAGACATAGGTAAGAGATGCGGCCACGATTACTGTCGATCACCAACGCGACCGCTCAGCCGCAGCCATTCATGCCTCAGGAAGATTATCGGAACAAGCCGCGAGGCACCTTCATCCAACCTCCCTTTTCAGATGGCTTTACTAGCTGCGCCGCTCACTATAGACGTCGATCTGCGTCTGCCTCTGTGTCTCAGATAGCAGCGACGTTGTTTGTCTAGACCCATCGCAACCCTTGTCACCATCATGATGCTCAGTGTCTTCCGCATCATTACCACCTGGTACCGCCCTCTGCTCGTCGCCCTGTTCAACCCCAGCATCCCCTTCCATCTTCGCTGGCGAACTCTCCTCCTTCAGCCCATCACACTGCTGACCTACTCCATCAACGCTCTTCCCTACTTCTTCTCCCGGCCATTTACGGTCGAATACCTCCCCATCTTCCCCTCGCACGCCATCCGCGCCATCGTCTTCAAACACCCCGGCACAGGAAAAGGCCGTTCCCTCCGGCCTCTACACGTCGAAATCCACGGCGGTTCCTTCATTGGCGGTCTAGCAGAGAGCAACGCACGCTTCGATGAGCGTCTCGCCAAGGAGACAGGCGCAGTGGTCGTCAGCATAACGTACCGCTTTGCACCGGAACACACCTTCCCATGCGCCATAGACGACGTGGACGCTGCTATGAACTGGATCCAGGAGCACGCCGAGAGTCGATGGGGCGCCGACGCTACCTTGATGACAGTCAGCGGGTTTTCCTGCGGCGGCAATCTCGCCATGGCTGCTACGCAGCAGCGCAATTGCCAGGCGCCGGCACGAACCTCCTTTAAAGCAGCCGTTACATTCTACGGTGCGCTGGACCTGCGACTGGAACCAGGGAAGAAGCCCAAGCCCGTCAACTATCCCAAATCGGACCCATTGCAGTTTCTGCTGCCGCTGTTTGATGCGTATGCGCAGCCAGCGAGGGCCAAACACATGGATGATCCGCGGCTGAACCCCGTTCTGGCAAGGACGGAGACGCTTCCGGAGAGGGTGCTGTTGGTGGTCGCGGCGATTGACATCTTGTATGCGGAGCAGATGGCCTTCAAGGAGAGGATCAATAAGGAGGCAAAGAGGGATGTGGTTGAGACGTTTGTTGCGCAAGACGGATTTCACGGCTATTTAGAGGGTGAGTTATTCACGGTGATGGGTTAACTTGGCGCTTTTGTGAATGAATGTACTGCTAACGAAATTAGTTCCCGATGCGGTTGTGAAGAAGGAGGTCAAGAATGAGGCGTTTACGAGGGCCGTGGAGTTTTTGAAAAGGACGTATTCACTTCATGGGTGGGATTGGGCGTGAGGTTGCCTGGTTCTGTCGTGTTTTTGCACTCTACTTGATGTTTCTGGTCTTCATGTGTTCATCTACAGAGGGCCATTTGAGACCTGGCCAGATCTCCTGCGGGCGTGTCCCTTGTACCAAATTTCAAAACCTCGCAACTCATGCCTTCTGGAGTAAACAGACCTGCCGTGCACTTTGTGTCCCATCAGAGGGTGAGAGTGGCTTGATGACAAAACCAAGCTTCCTCACTTCAACCACTAACGGCCTGGCATTTTTGTTTGCGATGCGGCATCTTCCACTGCCGCCGATGCCTCGCATTCCGGTGATATGCCGCCAGACGATTGCTTACGACAACGAACCACAAGGCAGTCGTTCACAGACATTGAACTTGATTCGCTCCCAAGCAATGAAACACCATGTATTAAAAGAAAAGAAAACCATATCCAACAGGCCACATGGTCAGAAGAAAAGAAAGAAAGCTACATGCCCAACGACTTCCCTTTGGGCTCTCTTCCAGCACCAAATCTTGCATGAGCAGCAAGCCATCTCGGCCCGTCGTGTGAAATCCCTTTGATGCTACTTTGTTGAATCTAGGGCCGCAAAGCAGGAGGCTCATCTTACACTGTACGTTGGGTCATTTACACATGTTGGCTTATACACTAGCCAATACACCGGGACAAGATCACCAGGCTTACACGATGAACAGAGTGGCTCTGGACTTCAAGGACGACTGTCTGTCCAATTCTATTACCAACTCCGCCTTGCTGCACACGATTTTGTACACGGTGTGCACCGACCTTGACATGAAGCGGACTCGCATCACGCTGCAGAGGCAATGCGGTTGATCAACAGAGATCTCGCGAGCGGAGGTCCTTTGATCGACGGCCTCATTGCAGCTGTTGCAATAGTAGTAACCCGGGAGACAAGTCCACTGGCACAATTCTCTACCAGGGCTTTCTAACCATTGTGGGTTGGCGCAGAATCTACGTGGTAGATTCCAACTAGTAACTATACACATGAACGGGTTGCAACACATGATTACGCACAGTCGCCTGTTGTACCGGTCATACGGGAGCTGCGGCATATATCTGCGGTAATGGACCCGGGGCATCCTACGCTTGACAAGACATTAGCTAGCCAGATAATAGGCGGCATTGAATACAATCTTGCTCTTCTCAACGGGGATGAATCTCGGAGGAATCGATTAGAAATGGGTCCATCCCCTGAAGGCGCATGTAAACTAGCATGCTATATCTACCTCTATCTTATGGCAAGCGAGCTTCCGCGTATCTCACCGGTACTCGATGAAAACGCAGCACGATTACGCGTGGCACTAGAGCCTCAGAAGGAGAAGTGGTGGGCTCGAGATGACCTTCGCAACTGGCTTCTTTGGATTCTATTTGTTGGCTATGCAGGCGCTTCGTGTGGTCGGAACTAGCGGTTGTTTCTGCAAAACGCACTGCTGTTGCTGCGGGCGCTCAACTTCACGACGATTGAGGACCTTCGTCTGTCTTGAAGAAGGCGGCGTGCAGTGCTGTTCCATGTGAAGATTACATGCAATTATTGTGGCAGCAGTCTACTGTCTGGGGACAGCCGAGTGCCTTGACGGAAGCGGCGGGTTTATCGACTTCACTCAAGATGGACGTTGAATATCAGACAACTGGCTGCTCCTAGTATTGCAATGGCAAATGATTCGGAGAATAGTTATATGATTGTCTGTTAAACGACGCTTTTCCACTGCAGATTCGAGCGCAGCTAGCGACATACATAGACAACTTGGAGGGATGACCCTAAAGAATGATTACTAGGAAATTACTAACAGGTTCAAATTCCCACAAGATCCTTCGTATTTGACAGCGTAAATATCTCATCCGCCTGATCGTCCACCGTCTTTGGCTTCTGACCCAGAAGCTACTCCAGCAAAGGATCCAGAAACACTTGACCCTTTCGCCCTGCGCAATAGCAGTATGCCAACTGGCATAATTGTCCAAAAACGCAGCCTGCTCAGTAAGAACACTCCCATTACGTAAATGCCACTGCAAAGCTTGCCACGGGGAGCACCGGCAAGCACATTAGATTTTCTCAACGTATGCGCCATAAATTGGCCATGATGTCTTGCCCGGTAAGGAGCTCAGGCCCTGTCAAATAGAGCGTCTTGACTATATATGTCTCCCGGAAACGCTTAGCCATCATCTATAATTCGACGCAGACCACCCACCCAGTCGGCAACAATATAGGCAGTCGCCTCCTCGCCGATTTCCGCACGTCTATCCCAGTGCTCCGGGCCATCGTTGGGCATTAGGGCCATTTTGTGAAAATGGTCTACATGATGGCCGTTATGGCGCGGCATTTCCCACGTTGGTTGGTCCGTGGCGGAATAGTCTGTGACAACATGGTGGACAATGGTGATATTTTGGGAGGCTTTTTAGGGCCTCAATTGATAGTTCTGTGTTGATGATGATACTGAAAGGTTGAGTTGATTGATGGAAAATACTGCAAATTTGACCCCTTTATACCCGGTCGGAGGCCCCTGCCTGATAAGGACAATCTGCAAAAGGACGAAAACGGCAAACAGCACGATAGATTTAGTAGCTATCAAATCCACAGATTTTGCGTCATTAATCTTTATTTCATTCCCATGTAGCCTATGGCACTGATGATGCTTCCATTCGCTCAGAAGTGGGAATTGACGCTCACCACGTCCATACCGCCTTGATGTCAATGCTATTCTGGGACCGTGACGGTAACCCTTGTACTTAGATACTAGGACGCCTCGAGAACCCTTTGCCGTAGACATGACTCAATGTTTCAAGGAGTAAAAAACCAGCCCCATTCGTGTTCACATTACACCACCTACTCTCAGACTCAAGGGACTTCGATGTGCAGTCGAAAAACTTCCAGGGCTTAAGATAGTTGATGTGATCTTTGTCGTTATAGCACATCATATGTTGAAGCACTGCTAATATGCCCGAGTTTGTCCGCAGCGTTCGAAACTCACATTTACGCTTGTCCTTGATTGACCAGAGAAGATCCATGACCATGGCTGCTACGCCAGCGACTACAGGAGTGGCATATGATGTACCATACTGCCTTTCTGTTTTGCAATGGACATGAAGCGTCGGGTTGTCCTTGTTGATCCATGCAGCCTCAATGGCTTCACCGATCGCACAAAGACGCTTCCCAACTCGCAACTCGGGAACAAAGTTGCTCAATGCACCATCACCATCTGTTGATGCGACCGAAATGACTTCGTCTAAACATGCCGGAAATGCAATATAGTCGCTGTGGGACTTGTTTCCAGTGGCAGCGAAGACTAAAACATCCGCTGCGTGGGCGTCAAGAATAGCTTTTCGGATGCCTTCCAGACTCTGGTCCACGTTGGGAAAACCAAAAGAGAGGGAAATGATATGGACTTGCTTTTCATCAGCGGCCCAACGTATTGCCTTGGCACAAATCAGTCAAGACGCAAAATTAGAATGTTAGAAGCCCAACTGGAATAGTTACATACGTCTTCGACCTCTCTGCTTTTCCAATGCTGCCCGTCTGGAGACACCCGGGCAACATATATGTCCACGTTTTCAGCCATTTGAAGTAGAATAGACGTAATATGAGTTCCGTGACCATCGCTATCTTCAGGTATGTTTGAAGGCATGCCAACGAAGTTTTGGTAGAAAATCTGGCCCTTTGTCCATGGGCCATACAGGTTATCGTGTGTCACGTCAACACCAGTGTCCAGAATTGCGACTCTGACCCTGTCCGATGGGTCATCTGGACGGTTCCGTCCCAATTTTCTCGCAAGTTCTTTCACCTTGCTGTATCGACATATCCAGTCGTCGGCAAGGTCCTCCCTGTTAAAAAGTGATTAGCCAGCACGCATATTAATGCGCGAATGCATGTGTCGCCTGTCGGGAATCAAAAATGGCTTTGAAAGGGGGGCAATTCGTGTATAGGTATATAGGTGTGAAAATCTGCAGGAGTGCCAACCTACTTCATCGAACGGTCTGCCGGAATCCGTTCATTGACAAACAGTCTTAGACGCCTATCAGGTTCTCCATCGTCCGGACTGTTTATTTCGGGGTTCAAATTTAGACGAGCGCCAAGTAATCGGTCCTGTCTTCTCCGAAAATCTTCAAGTGCGTACTCTAACGGTCGCAAGACATGCTTGTATATCCAGCATGCAAAGCCATTGCTTTCGAGGAGTGGCAGCCCGTTGAGAGGACCAGGGTTGAAATCGCACTGGAAACAGTTTTCTACTGCCATAAAGTACGAAGTGCCCTCTTGATAAAACGGCTTGTCTCTATCGGCAATTCTGGAATTCCTCACCCAGTTGATGAGCTGGGAAAAGATAAAAGTGTCAGGGTCTGCCGTGTCCGACGACTCAACCCCTGCAAGGAAAGCCTTTTCTAACTGCTTCCATGATGTGCCACACCAGAGTTCTACCAAGAACCGACCTAGAATAGTCACGGATGGGATTCTGTGAGTCGCTGGCCCATGGGTCTGAGGATTATCAGCAGCTAACGGTTTCGAGGTAGACATGTCACCAGAGAATACTGGGTAGATGACATCGTCGAAGTTCTCATGCCATGTCAGATATATATCTTGCCAAGTCCAGGACTCTCGAATCCATGGCGTGGAGGACAAATAAAGTAAACTGAAGGCCACCTTATATGCTATATGAAGTTTCTGCTCTGTCAAAAGCTCGCGCCGAGGGAAATTCTCAGCCCATCGGCGTATTGGCAAAGGGTTGGCCCATCCTATCTCTGGTTGGCCTAGTAGATGCAGTCCCAAATCTTGCCGATAGATAACAATATCCGCGGCATGTTGCTCTTGAGGCCTCAAGGCTTCATTTAGAGTAGCACAGAGGCTGTCGCTAGCCGTAGCTGGCATGTCAGCGCTACTATTGTTTGACTCGTCCTCTTGTGAATTTATACATGAAGATCGGCCCCCCTCTTCCACTTTTTCCATGACAGTCGGCAGAATCGAGTTTTCCGTCTTGCCTTGCTTTAGGGCATGTGGATCAGTAACAAGGCTGACAGCTATGTTCGTAAAAGTCATACCAACTCTCTCCTTCTGTTTGATTAGGGAGGAAGGCGTATGAACTAATAGCGAGCACGCCAAGCACCAAGGGTTAGAGTCGTCTTCACTTTGGTTGAGGCTTGGACAATCTTCAATGCGGAAATAGACCTGATGCGACCTTGAGCATCGGCATGTGATTCCATTCTGTTTTCCAAGTATATCAGCCGCCGAAGCAGCGCATTTTCGAAGCGTACCAAGGGCAGTAAAGAATTGAGCCGATGGGTCCTTTTGGGACAGTCGCCGAATTTCGACGAGTTCATCGAGGTTTTCCTGGATCCTGGCGAATGAAATCTGCAAGGCGGCCCCAGCAACGCCTCCAAGGGTACAGAGAGACTGGAGCAGTTTCTTGAGTTGCTTATGTCGTGAGAAAATGAGTGAGATGTCCTCAGGCCCATATCTGGTGAAGCCAAGAAACTTTTCCATCGTTTTGAGTTCCTTTAATGTGCGACACAGCAAGTCACAATATCGGCCGTACTCGGAGCCGCATCGCCTCTTAACAACCGACTCGAGAAGGGCCTCGCCAACTGTCTCTACATACCGACAATTGTTGTCGGTCAAATCGGCTAGAGACTGCAAAAATTCCAAATTATGCCCCCGAAGTTTAAGAAGAAAGATGGTCACCAGTCGCTTTGAAGTTGTTAGCATCTCTAAACCATGCGCTGCCTCGGCTTTCTGTTCCAGGTCTTTAAACGCCTGAACAACTAGTTGCGTTTGAGGAGAAATGACATGACCGGGACCGTCTATAGATTCGGTTTTGGTGATTTGGGCTTCCATGCTGCCTGACATGAACACGTCGATGTTACCCAACATTGACAACAATAGCAAACCAACTAGGAGAATTGTGGAAATTAATAGTGAGACGAGTCACGCCATATTTCGTGGCGTTTGCATTGGCATTATCACGAGCTGAAAAATTTGGAGGGTGTTACACTTGAGCGCCTCCAATGTCTCGCCATCAGCCACATTTTCAAGAAGGGAGAGAAATAGAGTTTGCGCTTGAACGCGGCGTATATCGACTCCCCATTTTCCTGTCAGCAAAAAGGAGTCAAGTTTCAATAGCCCCAGTCATCATTACTGTGTATTTTGCATGCAAGTCATTCGTTTCCTATACAGCTTGCAACAGACTGGAAGAGATCATGGGCATGGCTTCTGATGAACCGGCTCTCATGATACTCGAGGAAAAAGCACCCAACAAGCGCGACGACATCACTCACAAATTTGGATCATCGACAAGAGATGCAGCAGGCCTTGCCCTTGAACATTCAAAAATAAGTGGTGCTGCTGCTATGAAAACCGAACAGTCCATATATACCCTCGCACAACGGGTATTTTCGAACCTAAAGGCACTTTCGGGTGCTCCTGCTACTTTCCATGAAGCCGAAAAGGCGCGAGATCGATTCCAAAAATGGTGCAACAGCCTTGGCGCACATCTTCAAGGGACTTATTCCTTGGATGAGCGTCTTCGCGATGCTTCGGTCATGAAGGAGTATATTTTGGATTGCCTTGCTGGCATGAATACGGCTCTAGAAGAGGCGCAGGATCCCAATTCTGGACAGGATTGTAATAATATCCTAACCCCATCATATATTTGCTTGTGCAATCTTCTCAGCCAAGGAGCTAACTCCCCGACTCGAATATTTTAGCTGATCCATCTTCTTCCCCCATCAATAGCGAGAGAGCTAGCAGAATTTTGATCGAAAATAGCGCAATGGCTAGCCCAATGGGTTTCGCGAACTCTATACAAGGTGTATTGTTTCGCCTAACGCCGATAATTCGACCAGCGCTCTCAGCCGACCGCTGTGAAAAGGCAATGTCAACTACGATCCCCGATGAAGAGGATTTCAAAGTCAGGTGTAGTAAAGAGATTCGTCACTTTTTCCCTCGTCTCTCGTCGGAGCTTCTGCCTCGTTTGGTCCAAGCGAGCCTCTTACGCCGTCGGTTCACTCAGTATGCAATGAACTACAGCGCGAGGTTCCGGTCTGATGTGTACTGGGCATCGACTTCCGCAGAAATAAATCCTTCCAATGTTGCCGGGCCGCCGACCGGCAAAGCCAACTCGGAAGCAAGTGATTCCCATGGGAGCATCGCAGACCCAAACCTGTCTCTTTCCGGCATTATTACACGGGAAGATGCGTCCCATACCTTGCGTAGGCGATCCGTGATATCCTTTGCCGAGTCTCACCACGCATTAACGTCGTCTATTCCACCCTTCCCGGAAGATTCCGATGGCGGACTGCGTGAATGCGTTGCTTGCCACCTTTTACTACCTCTTCCGACAGAGCAGCTTTGGAGGTAAGTCTAGATGAGACGGAGTTTTTCTACCGTTACTAACGACGACTCCCTGTAGAGGGCATATTATAAAAGATATCCGACCTTACGTCTGCACGTTTACAGACTGTACAGTCGACCCGGGCAAGCTCTACTCCAGTCGTCATGCATGGTTTGAGCACGAATTGGCATTCCACAGACGCCAATGGCCTTGTCCTTCTGGATGTGCCACCATTCTCACAGACATCGAGTCCTTCCGCGAGCATGTCGAGTCCAAGCATGGTACGCGGGCACAGCAATTGCTATCACATCCTCTGCCTCGAGGACTGGAGCTCCCACCTGACGCGGAGGCCATATGTCCTTTTTGCCAGGAGTCTATCAAATCTCGCCAGAAAATTGGGTTCCACATAGCATTGCATCAGCTCGAGATCGGTCTAATGGTTCTTCAATCGCCTGTAAGTATGGTGTCAGGCGAGACGGTACTGGCTGAAGACTCGGAGGAAGAATTACCGCCTTTTCCAGTAATCGAGTAGAATGTACGCTCATTCCACCCTGGCTTCAATCAACTTTCCATGGGACACAAGAAAAGAATATTTCCATGCTGAATGTAAAACGCGATGCGGAAGCAGGTCCGGCAAATATAAAAGCCTCTCCTTGGATTACTCTATGATCGCAATAAAGCGGCCAATTTAATACTCTAGAGGGACATCTCAAGTCAAAGATTATTTCTCAATGTAAGATAACCTAAATAAGACTACTTGTCTTGGTGTGCCTCTGAGGTCCCACCTTTTTTCTCCTTGGACTCAGTTATCCCCAAGAATAACTCTTCATCCTCCAAACACCCAACTGAATCGTCCTTATCCTTCCCAAATTTCCTTCCATAGTCCACAGAGGGGCCTGTTCTACCCATGCGAAGTACGTTCCTGTTGATGGTGTTTAGGATTTTCCCCTTGGTCACAGTTCTTAGTTCCAGCGCAAATATTTGCCTCTTCCCACCACTAGCCCGAAACACATTGCCTGTAGACTTCTTGGCGCTAGCTGCAACGCTCAGATTACCAGGATCCTGACTCGGATCGACACTGGGTACACCGGCGGCAGCCCGAACAATGGTCGTAATAGGCGCTTCAGCCTTAACTCCCACTTCCATCTTGCCCACTTCCTCCCATACCACATTAACATCCTCACATAACAGAATCCCAACTACCATGCATACCTGAAGTTTCATTCCATGTTGAATCCATTTTGGAACTCGTTCCTTGACATCTTTATCCGCCTTAACATCGTTAAAGAACTCGTCAATCTGAGTAAGGCGTCTACAGTGGAGAATTTTGCCTTTGAGGTGATGAGCTTCGTTGGTCTCGCCTTTAAATGAGACTTTGGCGAGCGACTGGAGTGTTGCAGTGGCTTCTGTAGCTGAAGATTTGTGCGTGTCGATGATGAACTCAGTAAAGAATACGTCTTCTGTTCCATACTTGTCATACTGTGTAAATAAAGATTTGGACTCCGGCCGACTAGTGGGTACACTTGCGGTTGTTGGGCTTGGAAATTCTTTGACGAAAGCCCCAAGCATTTTGTCCTCCCATCTTGTCGCATCCAGCCAGCCGGTTGGCTTTAAGATGAAAAACTCGGGGTCTCCAAGCATGACAGCGGACGAAGGAAAGATTAGTCGGACAGCGGCCAGTATCGGTAAGCGGTGTTGAAAAACATCGAACTATACATGTTCTTGTAAATACCGCGTAAGAGGGGGGAAGCCCTATAGTTATAAATGTGGCTTTGCTCGACGAAGACAGTGTGAGGTCGGACGGTCGCCACTAAAGTTAAATCCTAATCCTATAAACTGTCAAGTACTTAGACGTTGGCTACATGTAGCTAAAAATACAACACTTGTAGAGTATTTGTTTTGGTTTATATATAGTTTTTTTTATGAAGTAAAGTACCTAAATACTAAGCTTTTAGCTATATTGACTTCTTTTTTTCACTTATTAAAAAGTATTAACATTATTCTACTATACTTTTATATTAAGTAATACTCTAGTCACTTTACAGGTAAAATGTATTCAAGAGGTAAAGTGAAATGTAGTAAGAAACACTTGGCCTTACAAGAGGGAAGTAGTAGATATAGCACTAAAAATATCCCTACTAAATAAAGTTAAGTAGTGGAAGTCTCTTGTTTAGCCAGCTAGAATTTAGTTATATTGTACAGGGTTATAGCCAAGTTAGCAGGCGTTAGGCCTACACGGCCGTAAAATATATTGCCACCATATTACTATTTTAGCAAGGTCTGCTTAGGAAAAAAATAAAAAGGGGGGCTCTAAGTCTATTATTGGATAAAGAGAAGCTATTTTAGTATGGTATGTGTGTAAATGGGCGATAAAAGAACAAATTTAGACCCTTAGGTAAATACAACAGCTTTCCTCGTAGTCATATCCGGTGTCGGCGAAAAAAGCTTATGGCTGTTCGGCATCGTCGAACAAAGCCACCAAAAGCCTCGAAGAGCCTCACATAGGCTCGCGCCACAGCTGTATTAAGCCAGTAAACTTTAATCCAGAAAATACTACCTCATTCAATGATTAGGCTATCTATCTAGATTGTCTTTAAAGAGACCTCAACCCAGTTACCTAGATAGCTAATCCAACGACAAGTCCACATTTGATATCGTGCCCCAGCTGCTAATCGTGATATCATACCTCTCGTTGAAACGTGTGCCGAGTCTCAACGTGGTATACAATCACAGCCTGGTTTTCTTACTTTTCTTCAGCCTTGGCTACTTGTAGTAACCGCCCAGACAGTTGGCACTTTACTCTTTTCGGTCGTAACACTGGGAGGGAGTCACGCAATCTCAGCTTCAAACCTTTTTCTCACGCCTCGTGGCGTGTTTGGGATGCTCAGCCCAGCCATGAGGAAAAGGTTTAATCGTACCAGACTTCACAACTCCCACACCCTTTTCGGCAATCCGTTTCCAAAAATCGATCATTAAGGTGTACACGCATTCTGTCTTCGCACTGTTTGACAAAACCAAAAGGCCACATGCAGCTGCCATCCTGCGCTTGATTGTCGCTTGTGCATGCTTATCTGAGCTTTTGATATTAGGTGTACTCCGTATTTTATGTTTATACCCTTGATATCCCTTACGACCGTCGTCACCAATAAAATTCTCCACAGGGTCCTTTTTACTTGGGCCGAGCCGAGATAGGCATATCTACATAAGCGCTGGTCGTGTTCGACTTATCCCAATAGCACAGCATTGGGTAGGGAGCTAATATTCAAATGCTATGCGCCTAGTCGTACGTAAATCAGAGAACCGTGATGTATTGAACGGCGTGGTTGCCTGCTGGTAAAGCTTTTCCCACGGTAGCCCTAGCCACTGTATGGAAGCAAAAGTTTGAGTGCAAGTGATTCACTCTTTATGGGTGGCATAATGGGTAAAAGAAACCCAAACTCACTCTTTCCAGGTATTTGCAGCCTTGCCGCGCTGATCCGTGACACCAAGATGCCAATTTCTTGCCTTTTTAGCAGAAGCGTGCGTCAGAAGAGACGTTTAACATACAGAGGAAACCGGCAGTTTCGTATTAGGGCGTATTATTTCGATACTACTCATTATAGGCAGCGCCTCTGGAATCATATTACGCCGGGGCAGAACCGGAAGCTGCGATAGGATATAATAACCCTTCCTTTGGTGGAAACCTCTCACGATGAGGAACTTTATCCCACTTAGCGTGTCTAGGAGGAGCATTTTGAGCTTTACCGTACCCGAGAATCGTTGATGGATAGCCGGTCTAGTACGTGGTAGAAACAACAAAGACAGCTTGCATTTACATGGACGGGTTTTGCTTACACGCGAACACGGAATTGTTAGGGTTATCTTTACTGCGTGACATGGCTACCCTAAAGAAGAAAAAATACATGCCTGACCTGCCGTAACCAATACATTAACGCTTAGAGAAGCAAACATGTTGCACCTAGTAATAAATTATTATGATAGACTCGACATAGGTCTACAGGTTTCCGGGCCTAGGGAGACACATGATGAAGGCAAGAAAACACTAGTCAATATCCTTCACTTGAACAACGCCTCTGGAGTTTCATTACTTGTTCGCGGAAGACTATAGTGTCGGTCTAGTTGATCAAACCCTCCACGATCACTTGTAATGTCAATACGTATTTTCAGCAGAAGGCTAGACAAGGTAAATTGGACAAGGATAATAAATGGCATTTTACTTAAGTAACTTAACATACCCTCGAGATAAGCAGGTAGATAGGCGGGTCTACATGTAGCCTACATGTACATACCGGTGTAGTGATCCATAGATTAGCACCTGCATCTGTACGATGAACGCGTTGGTAGGTACAAGCAGTTATATGCAAGTTCTTAGCGTGAGTCAAGTCTCCCGGCTACACGTGGCAAACAGCCACTTTCGCATCAGCTACATGCGTGGCGTGATATGACATGGTGTCATTATCAGCCCTTCCGGAGACGGCAGCACGGGGACCTCCATCGTTCCATCTTTTCCTCTCGTGGCGCAAATACCGTGATTCCCCGCAGCCCGTATCTTTGCTTTGGATATTCAAGGCCCAATCTCACTGTTTCCGACATGAATTTGATATAACGCCAGAATGCAACCTCCTTACCCAGGGTCATTCCACAGCGCAAATCGTACCATTCCGAGGCTCAAAACAGACTTACCACAATGGCCGTCCTGGTATCGTACGCAACTGCCCACGGCTCAACCAGAGAAATAGCAGAGACCGTGGCCCGACAACTGTCGCAACAGCTCGCACCCATTCAGGTGGACTGCATCCCGGCGGCCGCAACGCCCCTTCTCTCCAGCCCCGAAGGCAACAAGTACAAGGCGGTTGTGATCGGCAGCGCGATCCACGTCGGCCGGTGGATTGCACCGGGACGGCGCTTCCTCAAGCAAAACGAACCCTATCTCTCGTCTGGAAATCCGGACGTGCCGCGCGTGTGGGCTTTCAGCGTCGGCATGCCGCCGACCGACGACGACCTCGCCAAGGAGGAGGCGTCCATGGACAAGTGGCTGCGCGAGCGCCTGCATCTCCAGGGGCATCGCCTGTTCCGCGGCGCATTCGACAAGGCGGATCTGCCGTGGATTATACGCCTCATCTTCGCGTGCTGCGTCCCCGAAGACAAGACGCGGTTTGGCGACTCGCGCGACTGGCCTGCCATCAGAGCCTGGGCAGACGGCGTCGGGACAAAAATAAAGGAGGAGGCCATGCCCAGTTGACCTGGTCAAAAGCCAATTAAATTGAAGAAAACGTACCGTGTACTATCCATGTAATTATTTTCGAGTTTAAGAAATATAATATGCTATTATTTTACTTCAAAACTGAAAGAAATTGTATCAAGTACTGAATGTACGTGAGAGTTATTAAACACCACTCCCCAAGACTTGAGAATTATTAGCAACCCCCAAGAAAGGAAACTGGGGCCCTCATGATTCCGGATTCATACTGGCCTGTTATCCGCCGCACCCAGCTGCCCTGGCTGCTCGATACCCATACAGTTTGGTCGCTGATTCACGTCTCTGAATGCGGCAGCTTACGCGCCCCCCAAACGCCACTGATAACATGTCTTACCAGCGCGGCAGGTATTAGTACTCGCCTCGACCACACATGCTTTCAAACCCGACAAGTAGTCCCGGCTACTCGACATCCCCCAAAATGACCACCAAACCCATCATGTCGTTACGCATATCCAGCAGCCCCGACGAAAGCCACGCCACTATCCGGGCGCTCATTCAAGCAAATCTCCTGTCCGTCTTTAACGAGCGAGACGAGACTGCCCGCAAGACGTGTATCCAGAGCATCTACGGGGAGGACATTGTCTGGTACGAAGCGGACAATGATGTACGTATTGGCTATGCCGCTCTGAATAGGCGAGTTGGAGAGCTCTTGGGCGAAAATCCCGCCTTTGCGTTTAGGCTACAAGGGGACACCGTCGTGGCCCAGAATCTGGGCATTCAGAATTGGTCGTTTGGACCTCCGGTGGAACCTGATCTCATCAAGGGGACCGACGTGATTATCGTACAGGACGGAAGGGTTCGAGCGCTTTGGACGGCAGTTACAAAGGGTCCTGTTTTGCGATAGAAAAGATGGCTTCGTACTGAGTGGCTGGGTGTGCGTTGGATGGATAGCTGATTAGGGTCTCGAATGGAATTATCTGTCAAGGAGTTGAGCGTTTTCTTGTGGAATATTATGATACTTTTTGCGTTATTGACAGTTGGATATGGCTACATTGAGATGCTGTAGGCTCGCCTCTTGCCACTGTAGTTGACCGTCCTCATTGACTCCAATTCAGAGTGGACCAGTCTCAAGTTTGCAACTTGACCTAGTTGAATTTCTGTCGGCTTTCCATCTTCGGAGTCTTGTTTGGCTGAGCTATTTTTTGCCTATATAGTACCCGTATACACCCAGCCGAGATTGCACCCGTATTCTGTGAAAAACTTTAAATCAGTGCAGAGAGGGCTTTCAACTAGATTACTTACAATGTAGATATTCCAACTAACCGAGCGGCTACCCCGCATACAGCTCTTGGCAGATGGCGGGTCATCA